AGGGATGCGGGCGACCATAATTCCTAATCTTGTTACATTGGAACTATCAAAATTCTTTAACACTATTCTGAGTGTTAATCAAGTTGACTTTAAAGACGTTTTTTCTTCACACTCATTAACATACAATAGGCTTGTAAAATTATTCAAAATTTACACCTCAACTGAAATTATTTTATTTTATTTTTACGCAATGCATTCCTATGTATAAATCACTTTGATTTCAAGACTATCATATTTACTTATGGTTCCATGGCACCGCAATGGAATCAGAGATATTAGAATACGCAGTAAGTGGCTGGGTTTTTACGGTTTTTACGTAATTAGAATAGGTAAACAAAACACATTAATTGCGACCTAAGCATGGCTTTCACAAAACTCTCTGTTAAAGGTTCTTCACTGGTTATTAAATGTAATTAACAATTTTACTCTGGTATGCTTGTCTGTTTCCTCGAATCACCTGTGATCCGTGTAGAATAACAGGAACCCGCACGGGGTATTCTCCGTACAGCAGAACGCCTCAACATTGCTGTTAAAACTCTCCGACCAAGTGGGAAGGAATTTACCGCCAATGTGGCGAGGAAACATCCAAATCTCCCTCAGATCGTGATCAGAATCAGTGATGATTCCGAAATAATTACAAAATCTGTAACCCGATTATGCTCATTTGCACTTCATAAATTACAAGAATATGTTTTTCTTTTGCCCCCTTGAACTGTTCTACGAATAGCCAGATAATTACCTCTGTGAGCGTTTTTAAATGCTTCTTTAGCAGATATCGCTTCAATTCCTAATCAGCTGGTTTTTCAAACGTATAACTACACTATTTCTGTGAAGTGTTCCACGTAGCGCCGCCATCGTAAATGAGAGAGGAAAAGTGCGAGCTGCGTACCACACTTCTCGTGTTCCCCCCTCAACACCTCCGCGCGCCCCTTTGCGTCAAGGTTGCTGCCTCTCTTCTGGCGGTGCAAACTCTATGCGTTGCCGTTTGATAGAAAACCGATGTGCTTGAAAACAGTGCATCTTGGTTATTTTGTTGTAACTTTAACAATAATGCAGATATAATTTTCAGGTACAATCAAAATGAGTGACACTGAATTCAGAAAATTCACCTTTAGGAAATGGAAAATGTTTGGAAACATTGTTGATAGGTCATGCTCCAACATATTTAATCGCCTTGTATTTCTTGCCAGTTGTGTCCCAGTATTGAGAGAACTGACTGTGGAAAGCGGCTTGGATGTGACTGCTTGTTCTAGATTTGTGAAGGTTTGTACATTGTGTTAATTCAGAAGAAGAAACATCTCGTATCTGTGAAAATAGCTCAAATACACTATAGTATATATGTGGAGAATTAACCGAACCTTAATCCTCTGAGAAGAAAGTATTATGAACTTTATTTCAGGTGTAAGGTATGTGACCATGACAAGAAATTATCCTCCCAGATATTCTGTGTGTCGTGGGTTACACTCCTGCTGATTAAAAGGTTCACGACACGTCTTTTGCTGTTCCAATGATTTGGAGGGAACCAACCTATCACAACACTGCTATTTTTGTCTGACGCAAATAGCTAGAATCACCAAAAACGAAGAAAACTGCAATATTCTGATTTACTATCTGCCTGTATGTTACCGTGAAGAATTGTCGGTACTCTTGAGAAAGTGAAAGTGAATGAAGTTGAATGTTACAGTGACGAACATTCAGAAGTCAGGAGACATTGAATTGATTCCGTATTTTCTGTGGCGAGACTCGGCCATCGGGCCCGCTCTTTTGACTGACCACGCAAATTTCGGTAAGGTCCTTTCACCCACTAGCGGAGAAAGGAGGTATATCTTGGTCGACGAAACAGGCGATTTGAATTTAGCTCAGAGGCTTCATTTTGGCTTGAGGATCTTTTACATGCAGTAAATCTACTAACATGCAACAGCCGGCTTTACTTCCCCTCCGAAGGAAGGTTTACGAAAGACTTTCTCGCCCTTAAAAATACACGGCTTCGATCAGGTTTGAACCCGCGAACTTAGGTATAACACTAGCCGTTACACCATCGCCGCCGCTTACGCAGGAGATATCCATGCTGACCCAACATTTCAAGAATCCTGTGAAACATTCCAAGCCTCCTCTTCACTTTTATTAACACATATTTTTTTACTATACTCACGTGAATCTGTTCGTAGAGTGTGTCATTTTGCCAGATACATTAATGCAAACGAAACATACGCAATTACAAACTCCATCATCACATGAAAACTGAGGCCGATTCAGATATTAGATGTGAATTAAGACGCAAATTATATTACAGAAACTGTATGATTTGTTCATGTTATAGCAATAGTTTTTTGTAGACCAGCGTTTATCACGGGTGATTTGAATTTTTGTACATTTGAAATTATCCTTTAAATTTGTGTGTAATTTATGATTAAAATAGTTACCGGAGAGTGGTATTTCTAATTCGCTAATGAAGCAAACGTTTCTCATGTTTCAATCAGGCATTGAAGTAAGTCAATTTTGTCAGATATTACACATTCGTAAATATATAGGCAAGGCAGTGGTAAGATTCCAAGCTCAATGAAGAGGCTTGCAAGGGTAACGCGGGTGACATTTTTTCATTATTCGAATGATTTTCTTTTGCAATCGAAAGGTCTGAGAACTACATGATGAGTTTCCCCAGAATTTTATACCATATCTCAGGTGCAACTCCGCCTGCGGTTATTGCTGGGTGGATCGAGTAGCTCAGCAATGCCGTTGCCGGTCCCACGCACGGATAAAGGAGGAGGGTTCCTGGGTGAGGCTAGCGACCTGCCCGGGTAAAAAGGAAACAGTCCGGAAATTCATCTAAACCAGATGAATATTTATTTTTTAGTTTATTGACTATTCGTAAGATTTCGTTACAAGTAGTTTTTGGGAAGGTAATGATGTTGAATTTGACGGTTTTTAGTTCCTTCGTGAGTTCAGCCGCAATTCTAGAAACGTGTTTGTTGAAGAGATTTGTCACTTTTTCGGGACTACTGGCTTCTCTTCCATTATCCTTTAAAACAACATTCTCTACTAAGTAACGAGATGTCGGTCGCATTTTATACAATATTCCACATTGCTTTAGTTTTGTTACTAGCGCTCAAAATATCATATTTTTCGTTATTCGGGTTTCGGGAGTATTGTAATGCTAGCATGTTTCCAGCTCTCAGGAAAGTACCTTAGTGTGATGCAAAGATGTGTGAGTTCCGAGCTGATGATCGGCAGCGCCTTCTTGAGGATTGGGGAAACGATTTGGTCTGGGCCCAGTGCCTTGCGACTGCGCATGCTTGTAACGGTTTTTGCAATTGCTTCGAAAGTGCAGTGTATGAGTACAGTGCTGCTTTCCTCTGAATTTTCCTCGTCGTCTGCTTGTGAGGTGTTGTTTGTAAACCTAGAAAGGTGTTGGTTGATTTGCCACTTTTTCCGTATTACTGGCTTCTTATTCATTATCTTTTAAAACAACATTCTCTACTGAGTAACGAGATGATGTCGTATTTTTTACGATACTTCACATTGATTTAATTTTGTTACTAGCGTTTAAAATATCATGATTATTTTTCATTATTTTTCCTGAACTATTACTTTTCTTACGGTTCTTTTGTATTGTCGGAAGTAGACATGGAAACCGAGTGATACATACTCTCTGGGGTGATACGTTATGATGTTTAGAAATAAAATAAAGCGCACGTTTGGTTTTACACCATGTTCTTATACCTTGCGTGATCCAAGTATTATTTTTCCGTGAAATATTTAATTTTCTCTTTTTGAGAGGAAAGCATACGTTAAAGTAAAATAAAAGTGTTGAGAAAAAAAATATTTTTTTTTCATTTGTGTCAACAGCGTTATAAACTGTGTATAAATACGTGGCGTTATAAATCGTGTCCCACGATTCCTTCAAGTAGTCCGTAAATAATTTAATGTTAACTGTAGTAAATGCTCTGCACATGTGTGAATAACTTGTGTCAGTGTTCATGTTATTAGTAATTGTAAGAATTTGTGCATCATGATCACTGTAACCTACATTAGTGGTTTTTATTTCATATCTAATTGTGGTTTTGTTAATTATAAGTTGATATATAGCTTTTTGGAATATAAATGTATTCCGTGTAGATACATTCACTGTAATATCTAAATTAAAAGAATGCTGTAAATTGAGAACCGGCTCTTTTTCGTGGGATTCGCTCAGAAAATCAAATTTGAAATCTCTACATATAACAATGGATTTAAAAGATAGCTTACGAATTGTGTTCAGAGTCATGTGTAGATTTCCTAAGAAAATGAAATTATCTAAATCTCGCTTTGTTGGAAGTCTGTAGTTGCAAAGTGAGATTGTTTTGAGCGTAGTAAGATGTACGGCTGTTATTTCAAAAACTTTTTCAACTGCATATACATTGAATCCTGACAAAAAGATAGAGTCAATATCATTTCTAACGTAAATACACGAACGTCCGTAAGTAGGGCCCTTTTGTCCTCTTTGTTCCGAGTGTGCTATAATTTTACATTACATATTTTTGGGATCAGTAGGATATCTAAAAAAAAAAAGCTTGCTCTGTCTCTCCTGACCCTTTTTGCCCCAACCCATTATCAGACACGACTTGGTTATCGTCAAAATACAACTTTATTGTGGAGAGAAAAAAAACATCTCACTGCAAATAAAGTGTATATAATCAGAAAAAAACGTTTGAAAACCATTATAGGCGGGGAAAAACCTCCAAAAAAGAATGATCCCAACGTTTTAAATGAAAATCGATACTCATGTTTTATCCAAAAGCTCACGGCTTGTACCATATTAGCAGGCCGCTGCCTGCCACCCAGGGGCGATGGTGCTGCCCCCCATACTACTAAAAGTCACGTGTTCTGGACATCTCTTTATTTGGATTTTTATATGTTGTCGCGTGAGGATCACCATGGAATATCGTCCGGCATTTCGCGTCTTTCTCAGTCGTGGCGCTAGATGTCGCGTGATCGCGACCGTTTGGAGTTAAACTGATGGTCATGCGGCGTCTAGTGGCACGACCGAGAAAGACGCAAAAAACCGTAAGATATTCTATCGCGAAGAATGGCCCTCGCGCGCCAAAAAATAAAATCTGAAGTATATGCACTAATGCAAACTCTGTGATTATTTTGAAGCCAAGCCGGCTGATTTCCGTGCGAGTGTAGACTTCGTGGCAGAGAGTACTTTACTTCGTGGTTCGTGTCAGTAAGTACTTTGCTTTGTGTTTGTGTGCGTGCGGTAGTTGCTTTGAGTTGCCGTTGATGAAGTGAGGGGACGAGCGTGCAGGGAACGTGTCAGCGTGTTGTGGCGTGCCGTGTGTGAGGCGGTATTTTGGCGCGAAGATTGCGAGCTCTTGGCCTCGCAAATCTCGTGTTTATTGGAACCGGAGATCTGTATTTTCCTGAAATGGCAGAGGAACAGGTAACGCATAAGGTATTTTATAATCTTTATGAACCTTTGTGAAGAAGGCCATGTTATTATAGTAATGAAATGGACGATCTTGTTTTTTACTTACAGACTGAAACTGTGGAAAATCGTGATGATTCTCTTAATGAACATGATCCTCATTATGAACCCATCATTTCTCTCCCTGAAGTATGCATTCCTACAATGGAAGAGGAGGAGCTTGAAATGATAAAGCTGTAAGTGCGTGCCCATTTACAGTCTGTTGTTTACTTCAATCGTTATTGTTATTAATGATCAAAAATTTTACAGTCGTGCCAAACTCTTTCGGTATGACAAAAATGAAGTACCTCCAGAATGGAAAGAGCGTGGTACTGGCGACATTAAACTGCTTAGGCACAAAGCGAAGAATTCCGTGCGAGTGGTGATGCGCCGTGATAAAACCCTGAAGCTCTGTGCCAACCATTATGGTAAATGAAAATTTTGCATTATTTTAGTCTTCGTATTCTTTCCCAGTCGAAATTATATGTTGATGTTTCTGTGTATTATGATTGTAAAAGACTAGTTTGCCTTAATTGCTTATCAATTGGCTTCTAGTTCAACACAAAAAAGTATTTATTAAATTTTGTGTTAACTGTGAAATTATAGACGGTTGGGAAATACATTTAATACAAAATCCCTAAGATTCGAGTTGTTTTTTAATTAGAGTATAATTTAAACATAGTAAATTATATAGATGTATGTTCCTACTCCCATTGTATAATTTTTGTGTTATGGTATTGCAGCTCATTGCATAATGGTCATTTTGATACAGCTTCACTATAGTACAGGTGTTTCACCAATCACAGAGAAATTTGCAGTTGAGAAATAATCAAGCATTGGTCATCATTCTATTCAATGTTTTGTTGGATTGTTTAAATTACTGTTAGGAGACAACCTGTGAGGTGGCAGTGATATCACACGTGCTCTCCTGTTTCTGAAACTTTAAAGAAAATCAGAATATCAAATCTCCCTGCAGGCGACTTTATAAGTAATTGAGCTGATAAAAAAGTAAAATCAGTAACTGAACTAGGATGAGATTTGTTTAATAAATTAAATTCTAAAATGACTCTTGTATTGCTAGTTTAAGATTGGACTGCACTTGTTTAACCAGTGCCACCAGGGATACCTAAATGACTACCTGCTAGGTGGCCTTGGGTGAATAATGCATACTACCTGCCATTGAGACTTTTATATAAAAGTTTAACTTGTAGTAGCTAACCTTTCTATTAGAAAAAGTGTGGTATGAAACTTGATGTAATGGGTACCAATACACTCCTATGAAGTTCATGATTCTCACTAGTATCATAATATCGCTTCACACTCGTACATTAATACCTTTCATTACATAATTCCATAATAACCTATTATGATTCACTCCTGAAGTGTTCTGCAGCCATTGAAAGCTTCAAAGATTTGTCTTGATGTTTCACTTTAAATTGATTATTAAGTGTTTCTGAGTTTGATTTGTTGTTCTCGCTGATACAAACACAAGTTAATTTATTGTTGCTGAATTTTAGTTACTCCATGGATGGAATTGAAACCAAGTCATGGAAGCGATAGGGCTTGGGTATATAGTGTGGAAGGAGATTATGCTGATGGTGAAATGAAACAAGAATTATTGGCTGTTCGATTCGCAAATCCAGAAAGTAAGTAATGCATGTAGTTTTCGCTTTTTGAATTTGGTTCTCTAGGGTCCACATATGTATTTTGTGTATTAATAATGCACGTTATAACGGCAGTTGATGTTTTGCGGATGTGTAAAGTATCCCTGTGCAAAATGCACTTTCAAACCTTAACATTTTTACATCCTATAGTTATAATAATAGTAAAGAAATTACAATAGGTTTGTTTTAAGCGGCTCCTAGACAGTCAATATTTACGACAATATATTGTGTTATAATATTGCTGGCAACCTACTCAATGCAATATTTTTGCAAAGTAAAATAGAATATTTTTATCTTGTAAACAGTGGTCAGTAAATGTGACGTAAGCAGTTAGGTCACAAAATGCAAACTACCCAACATCCTCACAAATATTGGGATCACTGTGGGGCGGCAGCATAATATCAAAAGAGTTTTCTTGCAACTTTTTCCCAGATATTCTGGTAACATGCAACTGAGCAAACATTTATCATTCAAATGTGAATTTACAAAAATCCAAATTCATCGTTCACTTAAAAAAACAAAAAACAACTTTACGCTGTCTGCCACCTCCAGTTGGAACAACGCCTATTACCTGTTAACCTGTTATAACAATGCCTTGAAATGTGCATCCGTTAAACATAATCTTTGGGAATATTTAATAAATTAAAGTTGAGAAAAATTAACTTTAGAAACATGGCACTATACAAACACAACACTAAAACATAACAACCAACTTGTCTTGTACATTGGCATGGGATTCAAAGCTTGATCTAAGTCTTCAAACGAGACAAATTTTCAGTATCTGATATGCAGGTCCCATTTTGCATGTTTGCGTCCACTGTCTTTGGTGGGAAAGCAATGATAATCTTGCCTTGATTCTGGCAGGGCCTCTGGTCCAGAGTGCAGTTTTGCTGACAATTGGTATAAATGGACTGTACAGCGTAAAAGTATCTAGCTTGTTTGTTTATGCACAAGCCAGTCACCAAATGTGTGTTTTTAATCTCCTTCCATCATCTCTTCATTTCTCAGTGTTAATTATACCATCTACTAATTTTAGCACATTTGGGTTGCTTCTGGGAAAAAGTTTTGAGCATGGCATTTTTTCCAACCTTTTTGAATAGGAACAGGGACAGGTATTCCAGGGCTCAATAAAACATGTGCATATAATTGTATATAATCCACTAAGAAAAATTGAAGAGCTGCATGCTAGCATATTGTTGCAGGCATTTTGCTGCTATTTGTATGTGTCATATTGCTACATGAAATCCTACTACAAAATATAAAATATATTGTTAAATTATAAAGGATAACTTGTAAACTGAAAGGGATTTTTGCACTTTTTCTTAGTTTGCAATTGTTAAATCCACTTGTTAAAACAATTTTTTAATGCAAAATCACAGGTTTTTAATGTTTAACAATATTTATGTATATGACTCCTATGTAGAAGTTTTTTAAATGTTAATTTAAAACTTTTTATAAATATGACTCCTCTGTAAAAGTTTGGCTCCTAAAGTACATTGTTAAAAAATTACCATTTGCAATATTTAATAAACAAAGTTATGAAAGTAGTGCATATCTATTGGAAATGTATCTGGAGAGATAAGACCTGATAAACTCCGTTAATGCTTGACACTTGTGCAGAGGCAGTTTTGTTGAAATTTACCACACTTTCCATGTTGTAGATGCATGATGTGAGCCTGCATTTCAATGCAAAACCAAACTAAATACTAGTGAAAATGTGATGATCAGACAAGTGTTTAGGATTATAATAAAACAATGGACACTTCCTAAATATATTTTTAATATGAAAATAAAAAGTAATGTTAGCTAGAGGAATTCATAGAAATACTCCAATAAATAGAATTGCAATCTGAGTGTGGTAATTTGTTTCACTTCTCTCTAAACTGCTCATTTCCAATGCCCACTTCACTATCAATTGTATTATAATATCAGTGAATATACATTTTTGAGACAGCGCACACATTAACATGATTTCCCCATGTATTCTTTTGTGGATCTCAACTATCACTGCATTCTAAAATCCAACTGTTTGATAAAAATTTGGCATTCAGGGTCGCTGTTGAGAAATTTCCTCAGGAGAAGTAAATCAGCAATGTTCCTACATGGTTTAAGAGAAAACAACCTGACACATTCATATATCTCCTTTTTCAAGATTGATGAAGGAGTCACCAAACCCCATAGTTGAAGCTATCCTGTAAAATTTATCTGTACAGTTCGAAGTAAATGCCTAAATAACAGAGCTGTTTCAAAGTCCACCCACCCAATGCTTAGATAATTAGAATTAAAGATCACTATATTTCTGCGCAATTAAAAATAAAATAATATTTTGGATTGTTTACCATGATTTAAATCAGGGATGTCTAAGGGTTGCAAGGCCTCATGGGCAACTAAAACGTTTAATATGGTTGCGAGTCATAGTTTCATTACTCGGGCAATACACACCTGGCTCACCCGTAATGTTGATCTCTGCATTTAACCTGACTGCTATGAAACAATGCAGGGTGGGATTGAACCATTTTTGAGTTTCTGAATTAACTAGAACAATTCATAAATCTAAACTTCACCTATTTTTACATTGAAGAAGATGTGGACCCTGGCAGGATGCATGGGCTAGGTACACAAAGTTCTCACCTGACATGGTTGCACTGGTCTTTCACTTTTGACTAATGACCTTTCACAGACCACAGTAAATGACACTGCGGGCCGCCATTTGGGCAACCCTGATTTAATTCCCCTCTTCCTCTCTCTATCAATCTCTCCTTTCCTCTCTCTCTATCAATCTCTCTCTCTTCTCTCTCTATCCAATCTCTCTCTCGCATCTCTTTCATCAATCTCGTTCTCATCTCTCTCTCATACAATCTCTCTCTCTTTCTCTCTCTTCAACCTCTTCTCTCTCATCTCCACTCAATCCTCTCCTCTGCTCTCTCTCCCATCAATCCTCTCTCTCTCTCCCAATCAATCTCCTCTCGTCTCTCCTATCAACTCTCTCTCTTCTCTCATCAATCTCTCCCTCTCTCTCTCTCTATCAATCTTCTCTCTCTCTCTTCTATCAATCTCCTCTCTCTCTCTCTATCAATCTCTCTCTCTCTCTATCAAATCTCCCTCTCTTTCTCTCTCTATCAATCTCTCTCTCTTTCTCTCTCTATCAATCTCTCTCTCTTTCTTCTCTCGATCAATCTTTCTCTTTCTCTCTCTATTCAATCTCTCTCTCTTTCTCTCTCTATCAATCTCTCCTCTCTTCTCTCCTATCCAATCTCTCTCTCTCTCCTCTCTATCAATATCTCTCTCTCTCGCTCTCCATCAATCTCTCTCTCTCTCTCTCCATCAATCCTCCTCGCTCTCTCTCCATCAATTCTCTCTCTCTCTTCATCAATCTCTCTCTCTCATCTCCATCAATCTCGCTCTCTCTCTCCATCAATCTCTCTCTCTCTCTCGACCATCAAATCTCTCTCTCTCTCTCATCCATTCAATCTCTCTCTCTCTCTCTCTCCATCAATCTCTCCTCTCTCTCTCCACAATGCTCTCTCTCTCTCTCCATCAATCTCTCGCTCTCTCTCTCCATCATCTCTCTTCTCTCTTCTCCATCAATTCTCTCTCTCTCTCTCTCCATCAATCTCTCTCTCTCTTCTCTCCATCAATCTCTCTCTCTCTCTCATTCCATCCATCTCTTCTCTCATCTCTTCCATCAATCTCTCTCTCTCTCTCTCATCAATCTCTCTCTCTCTCTCTCCATCAATCTCTCTCTTCTCTCTCATCCATTCCAATCTCTCTCTCTCCTCCATCAATCTCTCTCTCTCTCTCTCTCCATCATCTCTCTCTCTCTCTTCTTATCATCTCTCTCTCTCTCTCTATCAATCTCTCTCTCTCCTCTATCAATCTCTCTTCTCTCGTCTATCAATCTCTCTCTCTCTCTATCATCTCTCTCTCCCTCTCTTACTCTATCAATCTCTTCTCTCTCTCTCTATCAATCTCTCTCTCTCTCCTCTATCATTCTCTTTCTCTCTCTCTCTATTCAATCTCTCTCTCTCTCTCCTCTATCAATCTCTCTCTCTCTCTCTCTCTCTCTCTCTATTCTCTCGTCGTCTCTCTATCAACTCTTCTCTCGCTCTCTCTCTCTTATTCAATCTCTCTCTTCTTTCTCGTTCTATCAACTCTCTTCTCTCTCTCTACTCAATCTCTCTCTCTCTCTCTCTATCAATCTCTCTCTCTGCTCTATCAATCTCTCTCTCTCTATCAATCTCTCTCTCTCTCTTTCTCTATCAATCTCTCTCTCTCTACAATCTCTCTCTCTCTCTCTATCCCAATCTCTCTCTCTCTCTCTCTCATCAATCTCTCGTCTCTCTCTATCAATCGCTCTCTCATACTCTATCAATCTCTCTCTCTCTCTTCTATCAATCTCCTCTTCTCTCTCTCTCTATCAATCTCTCTCTCTCCTCTCTCTATCAATCATATCTCATATTACTCTCTCTCTATCAATAGCAGCCCTCTCTCTCTTTCTCTCTCATCTATCAATAACCTCATCATTGCCTCCTCTCTTCTCTCGGATTCTCTCTAACTCTCTCTCCATCAATCTTTTTCTCTCTCTCCACTCACAGATGTCTCTTCATCTCTCCGCTCCTCTCTGATCGAACATCGGTAACTGCGTAAACCATCAACGCACTCTCACCTTCTTATGCAATCTCTCTCTCTCTCCTCTATCAATCGTCTTCCCAATCTTCTTCCTCTCTCTATCAATCTCTCTCTCTCTCTCTCTCTCTATCAATCTCTCTCTCTCTCTATCAATAATAATAATAATAATAATAATAATAATAATAATAATCACCGGTTGAAGTAATTTTGTTTTCAAATTGTTAAATAAAGTATTTATTTTGTATTGTTAATTTCTAAGAACTATGAATTATAAAATGTATTGAGATATATCCATGAAAGTTATATGAATAGTATGCTCAGATTTAAACAGTGGTCCATCAAGGTAACGAGCTATAAGGAATAGGAATATTATAATCTAATCAGGAACTCCAATGCCAAAATTTGTCTTAATGAAGCTCACAAATAAATGAGTGTCCTTGTCCAGCTTATGACTGTGTAGTGTCACTATGTTATGTGTTAAGTTTAGGAGTGTTTAAGTGTAAATCAGATAATTTGATTAAAAATATTTTTTCCAGAGTGATTGTTAGTGTTCAATTTAATGAATTCGTTAATGCTTCAACATCAGTCGCATATTTATTCACCCAACAATTAACTGATTATGCTTAAAACAAGTATGAGTGAGGAGTTAAGCCTTACAATACACATTTTGAAAATAACTTCAAGGAAGTGTATTCTTAAAATGTGAAGTTGCAAAAAGATTCCAGCTTTTGTAGGATTATATACTGAAATGTTTAAAACTAACCAAGGCTAATATGTCATGTTATGTATTTAAATCTGATATAAATAAAAAATATCCAATCTTGATATAAATATGAATACTCAATTCATATTTTAAAAAATTGTGATTTTTACAAACATTATTTTCGAAATACGTTATTGGTGCTATAAAATGAATAACTGAATAGTTGGCCATGCTCATTCATCTTCCAAAAACATGTTTCATTTGGTCATAGATCTTGTATGTTTCTTACTCCTTGCGGGATCCAAACCATTCTGTAATAATGTGTAGAAGCTACTCAATATAATGTTTCAAAGATAGTTTCTTTTAGAATGGTAGAGAGATTCAAAGATCTTGGTTCAGGTCATTTTGTGGGCTTCAATATATACAAATGAATCAATAAGAAGGAAAGGTACCGTCCAAAAACCAGAATTGGTATTACAGTTACATTACATTTTAAAAGATGACTATTAACTATGAGTTGATTCAAATAGTTTTAATTCTTCACAATAATTATCTCCCCTTTTAAAATAAGGTATTTTGAATGATCAGCTCCATGAAGTTCTTAAAAGCTGTCATGTATTTTTTTGCTATGTGTTTTATTAATTATGAAATTTGCTAGTATGTTTTTCTAGATCTTGTGAAAATTTACCATTTCTTAATACATGTACAAAGGCTTTTTTTTTTTAGATTCAAGGATTAGTTATAATTCTTTTAAAATAGTCTATTTAATTTGCTTAAATATAAAATCTACAGAAGAACCTATTTAAGTACCCTTAAAGTAATAGATCCCAATAAAAAATACCTTAAAAAAAATCCAGACTAATAAACTAAATATGAGTAAGCCTAAATGTTTGTCATTGCATTTTAAATCATGATTGAAAGCCTAAATCAATTTTCTCTGATTATTACATTCTTGTAAGAATTTGTGGTCTGACTGGAAATATTTTGGTGTTCACGTTTTGATGCTGTGAAGCCTTTCACTAGTAGGTTAAAACACGAGCATTAGAATTAAAAAAAAAAAAAAAAAGACCTTCCTGCTCTGCTGGCTGCTAATTGCTCAGTTGCTTCCCTCTTCCTTGTTGTAGAACTCACAAATCGGTTTATTTTGTTTCTTCTTCAAAGTTGTATGCTTTTGTGAGTTTCTTCATGGAATACTTGAACATCTTGCTTAAGTTTTGCATTTGGAACCGTTTTTATCAGTTTTCACCAACATAGTTCTCATCCATTGAAATGCAAACAAAACAAAGTAGACAAACTTCAAAGTGCAGTTTAAGAAAAATGAAATCTTACATTTTTTAAGCTCTTTTGTAAAATAAAATTACGTCCCAACAATATTTTATTAAAATAATTCAATCATATTTACCTACATATAATTATATTTAAATTAACCCACTAATGAATTCATGCAAACAAATATGGTGATTAAGAATGTATTCATTGCTCTACAGTTTGTTTTCTGTATTTATTTCAGATGCAAAAAAGTGGAGAGAGAAATTTGAAGAAGCTAAAGTTATTGTAGAAACTGAATGTGATATTTATAAAAACGGTAAGACCCATCATATTTAAAAAAACATTTTATTGATATTTTCTTGTGTGTAAGAACACTCTAGTGTATTTCACTCCTTCCATTGCATTTAACCTTGTGATATGGTACATAAGATGGGTGTGGTAGCAGGTACGACAAAATAAACATAGTCACTTTGATTGTCGTCAGCGAGAATGGTCATATGACTCCTGTTGAAATCTCTTGACATCTAGGAATGGGTGCTGAAAATGTAAATGAAAGGAATGTCAAGGCTCATGGTCACATGCTACATCAGAAAGTGAAGCAAGATTGTGATATGTATTTCATATTCGTTTAAGACTAATTACTTGCATATCGAATCCAAGCTTTGATAACGTTTTGTGTGTCTAGTGTGAATGAATCTTGTGAGAACAGATGCTGCAACCTGATGGAGGCTCACGAAATTTAACATGGAAATTTCAGAATATTACAAATTGTAGCGTGGTAAATTATAAGGGGCCTTGTATCAAAAACACGATTTTGTACTAGAGGAAGAATTTATCTGGGTTAAATTTACAACATTTGAAAATAAAGATTACAAGTTACATTTATACTTACAAAATAAATGCTTGATATTGAAGATATATTTGAATCTTGCTGCTATTTATAGATGTGGGATGAATTTGAACATGTTAAAGTTTTCAATTTCAAGAGGAGAAGAGTCCTGATGGGTGTTTTAATCGCAAGGTATGCAATGAAGCAATGAAGGGGCAACACAAATTATTTAAAACTTGTGGTGAGAAAAAAATGTTTATTTGGAGTCACCTTATGTTATGGGGTTTCTTTTGACATTAACCATTCTCCATACAGTCTAGTGTTGACTATATTAATGGGTGACAATCTGACCAAAAATTCTTTTTTTGAAAAGGAGTATTGATAGTACACATTTTTGTTTTTTCAAAAGGTTCACTTGTAATTCTCTCTCTCGTTCTCCTCTCTCTCTCCTCCTCTCTGTCTCCTTCCCTCTCTCCTCTCCCTCCTCTCCCTCTCTCCTCCCTCTGCCTGCCCTTTCCCTCTCTCCTCTGCTTCTCTCCTCCCTCTTCTCTCTCTCTCTCCTCCCTCTCCTCCTCTCTATCTCCTCCCTCCTCCTCTCTCTCTCCTCCCCTCTCTCCTCTCCTCTCTCCTCCCTCTCTCCTATTCTCCCCCTCCATTCTCTTCCTCCCCCTCTCTCTCCCCTCTCTCTCTCTCTCCTCCCTCTCTCACTACTTCAACTTTCTCCTCGCTCTCTCCTCTCCTCTCTTCCTCCCTCTCTCCCCCTTCTCTGCCTTATCCCCTCCTCTCCTTCCCTTCTCGTCCTCCTCTCTCTCCCTCTCTCTTCCCTCTCCCTCCCTCATCTCCTCCCTCTCTCTCCCCCTCCCTCTCTCTCTCTCTCCTCTCTACTCTACCGTCCTCTCTCTCTCTCTCTCCTCCTCTCGCTCTCCTCTTCTCTCTCTCCTCTCCCTCTCTCTCCTCCTCTCCGTCCTCCTCTACTCTCTCTCTCTACCTCTCTCCTCCTTCCTTCTCTCCTCTCTCTCTCTCCTCGCCCCACCTCTCCTCTCTCCTCTCCGTCTCTCTCTCTTCCTCTCCTCTCTCTCCTCCTCCTCTCTTCTCCTCTCTCTCTCTCCTCTCTCTCTCTCCCTCTCTTTCTCTCCTCTCTCTCTCCTCCTCTCTCCTCTCTCTCTCCTCTCTCTCTCCTCTCTCTCTCCTCCCTCTCCTCTCTCTCTCTCTCCATCTCTCTGCCCCGTCTTTCTGCTCTCGTTCTCCTGATCGGTCTCTCTCCATGCGCCGATATTGCGTGAAGAAAAATTGTCGGTAATATTAAAAAACCTCTCAATACACTCAAAAAACAAGATTTCTCTCCTCCCACAAAAACACGGCTCCCAAATTTATTTAGTTACCTTAGAAAAACGAGTGCCTAATTGTACTCCTATATACTCATTCGATCATCTCCTCCGTCCTTCTATAAAACACGCTTCCATTATTTCGCTTTAAACCCCTTATTCATTTCACTTGTTTTTCTTTCTCCAAAAAAAACTTACTCTGAGAACCTAAAAATATATTTTTTACTGCTCTCCCAATCCCCGAGTTAGTATGTACTATCACGACATTTTTGAATTTCACATCATTGCTATTTGATGTGAGATTATCGTCGTTTCGCATCAAAAAGTGATGTACGCGCTATAAAGAAGTCTCTCCTCGAATATCTCAAAAAACATGTCTGCTCTATGAAAAAAGGCTTCAAATACTATCAGCCATTTGCCCCTCTCTACTTTATACACTCTTCTGGGTCCAAAAGGTTTCGTCTCACGCACAGAACTATTAAGCATCACCCCTCTCTCCTCGGCCTCTCTTCCCCCTCCCCTTCTCTGCCCTCTCTCCTCCCCTCTCTCGAACTCCTTAGCGGACACAATCCTGCTTTTTCACCCTTCTCCTCTCTTTCGTCTATTCTCCTTTCTAACAGTAATATTTCTCTCTTCCTCCCTACTCCTTCTACTGGCGCAACCCTAACTCTCTCGAACAACAACTTCTCGTAGGAAAATTAAAATTAACCAACATTTGGTCGGCGATAGCACGATCCGCCTGAAACAAGGGCGATAGTTCTGGCAAACGCTCCACGATCCTACCCCTTCCTCACACTAAAATACGTCACCAATAACCTTACACTTACCTACGAGATTTTCCATTGCTTCTGGATGTGCCCACTCCTCCTCATGGCCTGGCTCTCCAGCCACCATCTTTCTCGTTGTTGATAACGACGCTTCTGTAGCGTTCTCTCCGTCTCTCGTCTATCTCTTGCTATACTCTCTTCATGCGCTCTTGTCCAATCTAGAGCTTTGTGCTGCTACTCCATTCTCTGTCTTCTTTTCCACTTCTTTTTCACGATCTGCTGAAAGCTAACCACTCTGCATCTACATACTAGGCCTCGATCATCTCACTACTACCTACAAACATTACATCCTCGAAATCACTTCACTGCGTTCTTCGTAGACCACTCGTTACTCTACTACACTCTTCTCTCTCCTTCTACTTCTCATCCTCACTCTTCCTCTTTTCTCCTTTCCTCTTCTTCAATAAATTAACACTTATATCACGTCATCACTGCTTAACTATCTCCCACTCTTCTTCTACTCTTCTTCAATCTATCTTTCTCCATTCGACAGATCTCTCTTCTCTCTCTTCTCTTACTCTACCTCTCTCCTAACTCCGAGCGTATCCACTACATCTATCCCCTCTCTCTCTCTCTCTCCCTTATTCGTCTCTCACTCCACGTACTCTCTCTCTCTCACCTTCCTCTGCCATTAAAAAGACTTCTCTCTAACTCATTAGTGCAAGGCTTACTCTGTACACTCTTTTCATGTCACTCATATCTACTATTCTCCTTCTAATACTCATGCATCATACACAGCTCTCTGTGTCTCTCTTCTATCACTCTACTCTTACCTTCTACACTGCTTGCTCCTCTCTCTCTCCTAATCCCGTCGCTACTCCATCTCTTCCTCTCCATCTTCTATTTCATTATCTACACTACGATTAACTATTTCGTCCTATTACCTCTCTCTCTCCTCCTCGTTTCCTACTCCTATACATGTAGTTGCTCTAAGCTAATCTTTCGCATCCTCATTATCTCTACCAACCTACTATCTATCTACTACTACATCCTCACTAATATCCATCATCTTCTCTCCACCTTTTCTTCCCCGTTAATATGCACATTTCCAGGAATTTGTAAACTCTATTATATTTGTGAATTAAGATGCTTCAAATGACTAAATGAAGTTTTTCGTAAAGTTAAAAATGACTTCGTTTTGAATTTACAGAAGCGCAGTAACTGCCATTTTCTTAAAACAGCTCCAAATTTTTCAATTTATGACGAGGTTTTCTGTTCCTTAATATTCTTAAAATATTTGCGTTCTACTATCAGGAAACTGAAAAATTACGCAAATTTAAAAACGTAGTTTGGCGGCGATAGAAGGTAGCTAGAAAGTTGTAATAGCAAGCTGAGACCAAAGGAAATCGAAAACAAATATGGGAAACTCTGTGCCATTCTTTGGCACCACTACTTACTTTCGCGTATACATACGTATATACAGTGTAATATACATAGTATATGGAAAGTTCTGTAATGCTGCGGAAATCGACTTAGAGATTTCAACGTAAATACACGTTTTGGAGTCCCCTGATACCGAAGAATTCTTTTTGAAATGTACTGTTAAAACCATCAGTACATGGTACATCAGTCTCAATCATTGTACTTTGTTTCAGGATCTGATAAGCAGCTAAATGAGAGTTCAGAAACAGAAGAATCTGAAAGTGAAAATAAAGAAGAATGTGAAGAAAAGGATGAAAAAGACTCAAAAATTGAGAAGGAAGAAAACTCAGAAAAAGTTGCAAAAGAAGAGAAAGTTATCAAAGAATTAGAAAAATTAAAAGTAGAAGATAAACCTGAAGTTTCAGGAAATGAGTAGTACCCTTCTCTTCAAGATGTGAAAATAATGTTGGATTCATGAAATATTTTAATTGATCTAAAGTTATCAAAGGAATTTTCTACTTAATTGATAATACAAAAACTTAGAAGAATATATTAGCACCAAAGCCTCATATTTAATATTTCATCTAGGAATTGTGAAGGGGTGGGGGGGCTTCTCATTTTACTAAGTATGAAATAATACAGTCCTTTTCAAAAAGAAATGAAGTGACAATATGAGATTTGTTTATTTACATGTTCTGTGTTCTGAATTTTGGCAATAGTTAATTGGTCAAAAGAAAAATTCCTTTGCTAAATTTGTCAGTCAAATGCTTTGTGGATGCAACATATATTTTGTTAATTTTGACGTCATTGTATAAATCATATTGAGAACAATATGAATCATTTTTTACTTGCGTTACTTATCCTTTTTATAACTTGATAGTACATGCTATGTACATAGAAGCTGCCTTTGTTACAGTGTGCAAGTTGGGATGTATATTATTAAGAGAATATTTGTTTTGTGTGATTGGAAAAAATATACATTCCTGAGTTGTTTTGATACTGTGCTATGAATTAGTAGTGATAATACGTAGGGTAATTGCATCAAATTTATAACTGGTTACTTGGGTGTCTAAAAGCATTATGATAACATACCTCATTAAGTATGTGGTATTTTTTCTTCTGTCTTTTGCTTCAATTGGTTAATGTTTAATGAACATTCAAGATTTTATGGCAATATTGTTGGAAATGAGCATCATGGAAATATTTCAATTAAAACTTTTATGAAATGCAAGTAAATTCCAAAATACCACAAAATAATCATTAATTTGTGAAAAGATGCATTATCCAAAGTGTTAACGTGTGTGCATGTAGTTTGTTGGTGTATTAAAATTGGCTTAGGGAGAAAATTTTGTATGTGCTTTTCTTTGGTGGGAATTATCAATTTGAATTCAGTTTGTTTCTTTATCCACAAATTTTTGGAGATAGTGCAGTTTGATGAATCTCTTGTGCAAACTGAATGCCTTTCACTCGTAAGTATTTGCACTTTCTTTTGTGTAACATCTTAATTTCTATAAGTGCTGCTGTAGAAATTAATATATCTACTTATTAATCTTTTCTCAATTTCTTCTGCAGAAAAAAAATTGGTGAAAATGGATTTCCAGGATATTTCTTTATAGTCATTCAATCTGAAAATTGTTCTCAAAATGCGTTGAAATTTTTGTTTTTTAGTAAAGATACAGTATTTATGAATGTGTGTACATATTGTAGGCTCAAAAGTTTTTATAGGTGAGAATCGAAATGTTTTCAGGTGTGATTCAGCAAGCAGTAGTTAAGATACTATTCATTACATGTACACAAATAGGAATAAAATACAAACACAATGTGTTGATTAAAGATTTCTTACCAATCTGAGATATATTGAAAAAGGATGAACAATTTTAATGTTAAATTTATACTACCGATGCGGAATTGAAAACATTTGAATTAATTAATTGTAAGGTAAGAATGGATTAAGTTACCTAATATTTGTTTATTTTAAGCATATAATTAATTGCATATTAATGTAATCATTTGAATTTATAAATAATATTGTTATATCATGTGAGTCAAGTTAATGAATGATCCAACCGTGTTACAACAGTTTCTAAAAACTTGTTAATGAATTGATTTGTCATTGTGCCTCGCAAGAAGCAATTGATTGATAGAATTAAAAAGTATCTGGAGAAAGATGAATTTTCAAGTGAATGGAAAACAGGTTTTTGTAAAATTTCCTTTATCCCTGAAATACTGAAGTTTAACATTCCCTTTCAGGTGGAAAAGAAACTAATGATATTTGTTTTATTAAGTTTATATTTTAAATAGAAAAGTCATAGGCTTCTCTAAAATTGGCATTGGTCCAATTTTCACTGTTAACTCTGATTTTTGAAAATTTTTAGTCTCCCTACAACTACAAAAGTGACGATATATTTTTTCTTAAATTGAAATTTATTCTCCTTAATTAGTTCTTTCATTAACATGTACATGTTTTTGATATTTTTAAGTAGTGTTTACACAAGATTGCGTGCAATATGGCCAATATTAACACATTCAATCCTGAGGAATACGCCAGGTACTCCTGTGTTGTGTAGGGGGCAAATTTTAATGAAATGTCATTTTTCCCCCTTTTGCTTTATAACAATGCAGTTTGGTATAGACATTCATGTGCATTATGACAAAATGAAATTAACAATTTTTATAAGTAATAATTTTAAATTTTTCATTGATTCTCATTTTTAGTGCATTTTTTGATGATTTTATCAATTTTAATGTCATTTTAATGGAATTTGCTTCAAACAATATTTGCGAGGTGCAACAAATGTTCTTGACTGAATTCCTGAGTAACCTATTCAATTTCTTTGCTTGTATATTGTAATGTCTGCTGTTGTGAGTACTATATAATCTAAGGTGCCTGTGACACTCTTCGGCACAATTGTCAGCTCGGCTAATTTCACGATAAATGAAGAGCATTTTCTTTTATGGAACGATCCAAACTCGAAGTTTGCAAATTGAGTTCACTTGAACAAAAGAAAGAAGCCTCAATTACTTCAACATCCAACAGCTTGAGTTAAAATTTTTTTTTTTTTTTTCTTCTTTCCTTAAGGACGTTTTTACAGCATTTTATTGATCATTTTTGGCAGTGTTTTAGGTCTTCAAAATCCCCCCCCCTAGTTATGGGCAAAATAATGATTTTTCAAAATGTAAAACAAAAACTATTGAACACATCAGTTCATAGTCTAGTAGAATTGTCTTTTCTCTTCAACTCCGTATGTATTTTATACTCATTTGATTGTAATATGGTAGTGGGAATGGAATTCAAAGAAACATGTGCTGTGTCTATTATCTCTCTATCTCGTGTGTGTGTGCACGAAAGAATGGTGGGAAGCGCTGTGAACTTCATTTGAGAAGGACATTGGTGCACTACATTTGGTATATTTTGTTAAAGTTCAGATATGGTTCCATTTCCATGTCTATTTATTTATGCCTTTACTTTTTTTAAATATGCAGTGGTGGAAAATAGTCTAGTTCAATTGAGTCTTTATTTACAGGGAATTTTATTTCACAGGACTTCTCACACTAGTAATTCAGATTGTTCTTCAATTTAAAGGAAACTAAAAAAGCTGAATTTGAAAAGATTCACTAATAGAATCATTGGCATCATTATTACTCTCCTAGGTATAATTTCCATTGCTCAAACTAGGCAACATTCCAGATATAAAATCATTCTCATCGGAAAAATACAGTTCTGGTACATTATTCAAAAGCTCTTGAACTTCTTACGTTGAGTGTGAATTTGACATATCTTCGTAACCGGGTCATTCCACATTAAATCAACACAGCCACTTTACATCACCATCTCAGGTTGAGATGAAATTTGACACAGTATGAATGAATAATAAAAAAACTACAATTTTGCAGTAAAATATTTCTACTTGTTTGTGAAGTACAGCCATGTAAAGTATAACAAATTGGGTTCCCTGGAAAATTTTAATTTGATTCCTTGCAAATTAAGATAACTGGAAAAGGTGTCAATTTGCAGACTTCTTTATGGCTATATGTATAAGATATACAGCTGAACAGGGGTTTGATTCAAAAGTGTTTCGAATTTGGGCTTAAAATTTTGAATTTAGTTTTTTCTAAAACAATTGTTTTTGAAGTGACCATGTCAATATAAATTTTGAATCATTGTGTTCATGTAGTAATCTTTAATTAAAATGCACAATATTTTCTTATGGTAGATTTCACTGAATTAAAATGTATTTCATATCAATATATAAGGCTTAATATATAGAAACTATTAATTTAGTGGTTTTTGTTGGTGTTTTATTTTTATTATTATTATTGCTCATAATCGGGACTGATTCTGACGACGTGTCATCTTTTGATTGGTGAATTCTAGACGTAACTAACTAACTTGTAAATAAAATTATTTATCACGGCGTATAGGTGATAAAAATGTATAGCTATTGGGTCGTTTTTCAATTGTTGGGTCACTTTTTCCTGGAATTCGTCATTTTCGACGCCAGTGCTGGAAAAATCCATCGAAACTCAAGTCTGAGATTGCAAGAAATTATTTGTCTTTGGTGATTTCCTCGTTTTTCGGAAACTTCACATCGTGGCTAATGCTTTGTTTTTGTCGGGCTGAAACAGTTTGATTCATCATCGTAGCCAAAAAAAATCCGTTTATCAGGAACCCGTTTCAAGCAGCATACCTTACTTCTGCAATGCATCTGATGAAAATCCGGTTAGTATCTCTTGTGGAGTTTTTCCATTCAAGCTCTTTGATGGAAGACGATTACGCAGGTAGTTTGCAGTTTTAACTTCTTCCGCCTCAAACGTGACAAGTTTGCCTGTAATAGGGTTGGTGGTGTCCCAACATTCGGATGATATTCCACTGTTGCCTCGAATATCTCCGCTTTGTATTTGAAAAACTACCTCACATCTGTGAGTTGCATACATATTCTACGTACTACCTTGCACCGGACAGCGACGGAGTTTGCAATGGCCCACACGTCCATGTGAATGGAATCTAAGAGCGCCGTCTCACGTTCTTACATCTTTGGAGACTGGACATCTTCCCCTTCAAACAGATTTCACAATTTTTTTTTTTCAGGTTTATTAACTTGAACACCTGTGATCCACTGATTTTTCACATCTTCCCATCAGGGATATTAGCGAGTCTCCGACGCAGCAGATTCAAATAAATCGACTGGGTCGATGAAGACAAACCAGCACTCTTCATGCTCGCGTATAAAAGAAGTCGCCCTTCCTGTCAGCATACAAGTCTGCGTCCAGCACCTTTCTTGTTGAAAATTATCTCGTGGTTTCGATCGGTAACTTTTGCAACAGCAAAATTGTTCTCTGGTCGTGAACATGCGATAAATTTGAAAGTAATACCTTCTCGTCTCCAGATACTCAAGTTGAAAATTGCAGTGCCATTTCCTACGATCCTTGTAGACGTGTTGTTTGCCAAGATCAAAGATCCCGTCTTCGATTAATCAATTTCGACAAAATTATCAGAATCTCCGCGTAAATTCGAAGTGGTACCACTATCCAGACACCACTTTCGGGATAACGAATTGGATAACTCGCGATCGACGGTCTCCACTGACTAAACAAATTCTGAGTGAATTGTAGGAATTGATTGTTCTTCTGTGAGTCACTTTTCTTCAGAACTCAACACTACGACTGTTAAGGCTGCGAAATATTGCTTGGATCAATTGGGAGAGCATGAACAGAAACCAACGAACATCGCCTTCTACTGTTCTCAGAAGATTTCAGAATCAACACAAAATCAACAAAGATTATTACTTTGCTGAAAGAATTAATGAGTATTGAAGATATTGCCATGGTTACCTCGGTGCACGATCGCCACAACATTGCTCGCGGCTCTAGTGTTCATGAAAATGTGAGCTCGTCGCGGCCTCCCAGGAGGTAAGATGATCTATGGGTAACCCGAATATTAGCAGTTGACAATCGATGTCAAAGAACTATGTACAAAAGAAATGAGTATTTGGTCAACTGGGAAGGAATTCGCGCGGCTTTTTTGAGCATCTAAGCGGAAAGCTTAAATTTATGATATTTTCTTAAATGTCTTCAGAGCAGCGAAACTGCTCTTCGAAGCGTGGCGCCAAAATTGAATTAATTTGGCAGTCAATATGCCAACGACTTTTGATGTCCTGGTTAATGACAAGACGGCGAAATTCTAAGACACCATCTACATTGTCTGTGCTTTTGCCAGTTTTCGGATCCGTTTAGTTTTTCTCGTCGCTCCTGTTCACAAACATGGCATACTCCGTGTCAACTTGGAGGGATTTGCGAGCGTCACTCGTCTCAATCACGTATTTGGGTTCGGAGAGCGTCCGGACTTGGCAACGAATCCCTTATTTGTTTGGCGGACCTGGAAAGTTCAAATCGTGTGGGGAAACTATAGAAACATGCGTAGTAATTCTTGATTCATTTGGATATCCATATCTTCCAATTTGTCCATGGTATCAAAAATATGAAAGTGATCGCGATCGTCACCATTGTTGGTAATCTAGTGTAGAGTTAACCTCTTTAACAACGTAGCCTTCTGGGGCCGGTGCTTTTGACTGAATAATATCCTTCCATCGATTCCACGTGTCACGTTCTGTAATACACGATTTTACCTGCTTGATTTCGCTTGACAAATAAATTGATTTGCGAATGAGCCTTCTGATCATTTCTGTCCCATTATATCGCTGCCGCATTGACATAATTTTTCACTGGTTCGAGTTTCATTGAGTTTCCGCTTGCGTATTCCTACAAATCGTTCGTGACGAGTATTGCCTGCATTTCCACCGCCCACGTGTCGTAGCTCAATCCTCGACGCTGCCATTTTCATCCTGAGAGGTTAACTTTCGTCGACACGTCAATTAAATACGACCCGTTTATGTCGTCAAATTCACGATCACATACCTGGGCCCATAACCTGTGTGAGGAAATGCTACACAAGTGAATAACTCAAGAGGTGTCTATAAACATTATTTAATTATTAAACCCTACGCGTGTGTTGTGAACATGATAAGCACTGAACTCAGGCGCATAATCTAAACCTAAGAACTTTCACTATACATATGGTGTCTTCACTGAACAACGAGCCCTTAAAACGAAGACTCCGCACAATATATGTAGTTTGGAAGAACGAAATTCCTAACAGCACAGTGAACGAAATGGTCATTAAGAACGTGGAAGAGGGTACATTTTTACCGAGAATTGTCAGTAAACTAAAGGCTCGGTTTCTAGCCCTGACTATGGGTGGGAAGGGGTGAAAAGATCCACATTTCTCTTCTTTTGAAGTGAAATTGTACAATAAAAGTTACACTTAGCTAAAGCTAGGCTTGTAACAATCGCTAGAACGTTCTATTGTATTTTTTGGCAATTTGTTAATTAATAGTTAATTAACGAAAAAACAAATTTTGTCAAGCTTTTGTTTCTAGCTCCACAGCCCTTTATTTTAAAGTAATTGTGAGTATAAGTTGCATCCGCACTGGTTTGGATGGAATGACGCCACAAGGTTTCCTCCCTAAGAAAATTGCCTGGTATACAAAGCGAAGAAATCGTTGCCCCTCAGTACACTTCTGATTGGACAATTCTATCTCCCTTCTTTAGATGCCGCGAGCAATATAACCCGCCAATTCAAATGGAATAAGAGCCGTGATAAAGAGCTCGTTCATCCACTTTACTTACGATAAGTGGTTCGAACCCCCTCCATATTGTATGTGTATGGTTGTTTTGGAAGAATAAATACTAGTAATTATAAGATCTTCAACAATATCTCTTGTATCCATTGCCAAATTTTATTCTTTCACAACACGCGGTACTGCAATGTCAATTTGAAGCGTAACTTGAATCAATGCCTGTTCGAGTACTTGTCGAACATTCTAGCAGTTCCGTGTGAACTCACGGGCTCAGAGCCCCCAATAGTTCTTAGAAATGTTAAATACTAAATTTTGACCCAAAAAATGAAGTGATGTATGATTAAACTATACGCAAAAATTGGCATAATGGAGTTGAGTCGCGCATCATTGGTTAATATTGTATAATATGGAATGTTGTGGCTGCATTTCAATTTTATATTGTACAATTCAATAAATTAAAACGATTTAATTTGTGGTATTTTTCAATCAAATTATAAATATCTGAGTCTTATACGTTTAAATGTTTTGCTAGAAAAATGTGTAATTGGAGCAATAAGAAATACTTTCAAAATATATTTTAAAAAATTACAATGTGAATTGATAAGATTTCTTTTATATATCAGCATTAAAATTGAGGAGGGCGTTGAAAGTAAGGATAGGGAGCTTCCAAATTAACCTAGGCCCAAGGGTCTCCAATGCTGCTTCGTAGAGTTAATAGTTATTTTAGGTTTACTAGTTCATTTTTGTGTTAACGGATCCGAAACAAAACATTTAACGGTATAGTTAATACTCTTCCGGGTCTTTCGAATACTTTATGACTCGCTCTAATACCATCACACAATCTTTTGAACTCGATTCATTAAAGTTAAGATACAAAAAGTTACAGTAGATAAATGAAGTAACACTAAAAAAAGTAAAATAACGCGTTATAAATTATAGGTGATTAATTGATACGAAAATTGCAATTTTGTATTTTTCCCGGGAATTTATAATTGCCATCAGTCACTCATTTCTCTGTACGTGCCACCGTTTTTAGAGACACATATACACCCTCCACATCTTCAGTATTACAGCTTTGTTTCTTAAGCATTCTCGACAGAATCACTTAAACGTTGTCTCTGCTCATCCCTCCCCACCTCACCCACTGTGCAGCGCAAAATGCTTTCGGCGTGTGAGCCGCATATCTGCCCGCCTAAGCTCTTGAATGGGAAAACACGCGGTTGCCAAAGCAAGAAAAAGACATGGGTTGCAAGTTAAGCTAAAGATCCTGTGTATTTAAAATTCCATATCTTGTATACTGCGAATAATACTTCTGTCGCCTTGACAGCTGAGAGTAGGGGAGAGCGATGCTCCCATTTAGGGCCCATTCAATATGCAAACATAAGCATGGCGTTGACATAAAAGTTAGGACGTCCATAAGTGGACTCATTCACAATGCGTTCGCATAAGCTTAACACGTAAGGCGTTAATTTCAGAGCTTGCAAGCTTCTGTGCTTAAGCTTAAGACATAAGAAATGAACATATCACAGAACGGTAACTAAATATCGAAACCGGAGCAAAGTCGATAGCCGAATTAACACCATGGGCAGTGGACACAGTCGATACCTCTAAATCGATTCTCACATCCAACCAAGAGTAAACTAGAATTTCTCAGAGCCTATAGTAAGTCAAGTTTTTATTTTGCTTACGTGTATGTGAATACTTCAGTCTATCACTTTGAGTTAATGTTTACGGCTATGCGTTATTCTTGTTTTTGTTTGTATTGTGAATGGGCCTTTTACTCGGGCGGCAGAAACGTGGTCGTGCTTGCGTCAGATCAGCTGTTGAGGCATAATAATAATAATAATAATAATAATAATAATAATAATAATAATAATAATAATCTCTACCTGGGGAGTACATGACGTTGTAGTTGGTGGAGCTTGAGTATCTCTATGACCCTGGGAGCTATACTACCGTTAGAGTAGCGACTGGTATGGCCTCCCTAGGCCGTCAGGTCGAAGGAGAGGTGAGACTAAAAAGTACTCCAGAAGAAGAAGCAGCGCCTACCTCCAAGAGTGGCAGCTGTTAACGTGGGAGGGCCAACGTCTCCGAGGGTGAAAGAAGATGCAAGAGTCCCACCGGCTTAGGAGGCGAATGATCGAATACCTTAAAACTTCCTCTTAAGGCAAGGAGGGGTTCTTTAGGCATGCAAAGCCAACCCTCCTAGGGGAAACAACTCTAAAGAAATCCTGCAGGCGCAGCTAAGTGGCAGCCCCACTACTGGGACAACGCTGGCGGTAGCGTTAAAACACTAGGGGAAGGTGACCCAGAAAAGAAACCCGCGATGGAAGGTCCCCCAGAATCAACCGTTGCGGTGCAGGGGAGCGTAGACCCAGTACCGGCAGTCGAGGGTGGGCAAGCAGGACCCCGGCAGTCGTCATCCAACTACTGCAATGACAGAAACGTGGACCACTTGGCCACTTGGTACATTTATCCTTAAGGAGCTGGGGCCGTAAGGTGATTATTGTGGAGAGGATTTTTGTGACCTAAAAGTTGTTAATTAAAGTGTTGTTAAAGATATATTTTTGTGTAAATATCGTATAACGTAGCTTACTTCGCAAGAGAAATAATTGAAGTAAATATGTACCTTAGTGTAGTACATTGCATGTTTTGTTTAATTTTTCCTATCTTGTTTAAAGATTATATCAAGAAGTATTCTTCATTTGAACAAGTATTTTATTACCTATAGAAAAGAAAAAACAAATTGTAACAAGCCATTTCTAATCAATGAATGCTCTCAAATAAACAGATTCTATGAAACATTTTAAAGACGTCTTTATTTTAATGAAATGTGCAATAAAAGGACAACACACCTGCCAAATATGCTCTAACATATTAACCTACATAGCATCCAACTCTTGCCAAATATCAAGAAATTTCACTCAGCTATGCCCTGAAGCAATGGATCAAAATGTGTAGAATCATAGAAGTTCACTCCCTAGCAATAACCCTCATTTCTGTGAACTGAGAGGAAAACAATCATTTATAATTCCACATGCCTCTGTGTAAACACCTCTGCAAAATTTCAGACAAATCGAGAATTAACCTGGGCACTGAGTAATTGAAATTTGAACAGAATTTAGGATATAAATTGCACTTTTAGAGATTTTTTAATATGATACAGCTTTGAATTTTAACAATTTCCATTGTATGTAAATTATAATTCATTATTGAAAACGAGTTGATAAAAGGATAAAGAAAAAAAAATTAAGGAGACATTAAAAGGTTGTCTTTGGTAATTTATGAAACAAAAATTATGCAGCCACAACAAAATAGGGCATTTGTGCCAAACAAAATAAAATTTATCTGTTCATGCAGAATATTTGTGTGACTCTCATATACCCCAAAATTACTGCAAAATACCCACTGGTATGCCAAATATTGGATGAGTTGTGTTCTTATTTCATCCTAATTTTTTCAATCCATAGTTGTGCTACATTCGATGTAGCAAATATTCAACTTGTATCTATTTTCTTCATATTGTATAAAGTTTCCTTTTTATGAAAATAGGTTTTCTTTTATTCACTAGTTGAAAAAGTGACACATTCATAATCATGAAAAACCTGATGAAGCTTTTAACAATAAACATAAAACATTGGTCAATGTTAGAATTTAAATTTCAATTCTCATGTTTCCAAAATTTTTAATCAATCTTGTTTCAACACTGCAAATGTTCTCAAAATGAAATAAATTTTTATTTTCTCATTAACTTACAAACAAGCTCCATATTTGGAACATCACAACAAGGTACAAACGTCTATGATGCAAACAAATGAAGGTATTAATTTGTGTCCATTTTTGTGCTTATACCTCAAAATAAAATAAAAAAAAAAAGGCTTACAAGAAATGTATCAAATACACTCATCTATGCATTCTGGCTGTCTTCTTGCAATCACATCAAAATGACACAGTGCTACTCCCTAATGACATACTGTGAAAGTCTGTACACATCACAATAAATCAGAAATCCATTCTGTGATTCACACCCGAGAATAAATGCTTAGAATACTGAGATCTAGTAAATGTGATTCAGTGAAAAAATGCACATTTCTTGTACCATTTCTCTCTTAACATAAAATATTCACACAAACCACTTACATGCCTAATTAAAACATTTACACCAAATGCAAACTTCCATTTCATAGCTCATCATGTTTAAATGATTGTAAAATATTTATACGCTGCAATATTTCCTCCTTTTTCTCTTTGCTGACCTTCCCTTTCGCAAGATTTTGTACTCTCTTCATCTCCTTCTCAATAAAATCATCACCTTTCTCCAAAGATTTTCGCATTGTTTTCACATATACTTCGGCAGCTTTTTGATCAGCACGACCTGAAGTTTTATCCCACATATCCTCTGCCTCTCGGAGAATAATTTTCTTCAAATCAGTGTCGGCAGTTTTGACAAATTTATTGGCAAGAGCATCAAATTTATCAATACAGCCCTGTAAGCCTACATACACTTCAGAGTTAGATCGGATAAATTTCTTTATATTATCTGCTGTGAAATCTGAGTTGGTAAATGTGACAGGTTCATCCTTTCCAGCAACAAACAGTTTAATGACAGGGAAATCATCTTTGTTCACTTTGTATCGCTCGGCAAGATCTGAATTCTCTTTTTCGCCATAGTCTTTCACACCAACTTCGCCTACCAAAAGCTCTGGAATTGAATATGTAGTTTCGGCAACTTTAGCAAATTCGTCGTGTTTTGCCCCGTAAGGATAAGCAACATCAAATTTAATAACAGCAGCCTTAAATTTGGATATAATCTGAAACAGATGTCACACCATGTAACTACAAAACATATTCTTATATTTGGCAACTCAAAACTCCCCTTTTAGCACTATTTACAGGTATTCATTGAAAGTAATGCAATGACAGACGCGGAATTAATAGTACCGAAATTCTTTACCTTATCAAAACTGTACGAGTCTAATGGCACACATCCTTTACAATTAATAGCATCTGCGTAAATCAGTTGACTAAACAAGGAGAGAGCGACTAGAACAGCCAACATACTTTTTGTTAATTTTAATAAACGCGACAACGTACAACCATCCGTATCAGTCACACAAGATCGAAGTTGAAGAACACGAACACGTCAGCTACAAAAATCAAGATTACCAACCAAGCGAAGTTATAAAATCATTTTCGAAATTGAAGGAAATTTTTAATTAAGTTTATGAATTCGCAATGAGTAATAAAAATTAAATGAAGACATCCTAGTCAAATTTAAAATTATTTTGAGATCTTTTTTGATTTCGAATACTACAACGATTGTGACTGTGACATTTGGCAATAGAGTCAGTGTAAGCAACAATTGAAATAGTCACAAATTAAGGTTCAAATTTCTCGTCCGCAGCAATATATAATTTAAAATGCTATGATCTCTTGCGAGACTCCTTTTAAATCTCAGCATTATAGATTTTTCATGCTTCTATGGACGAATTGGTCGTGACGAGTCAACAGAGCATGTTACATTCACTGCTCACCTGCCTACAATACGAGTGCGTTGTCTGTAGGGTTGGTACATTGAAGTTGTTTTTCTCTTTAGTTCCGTTATATAAATTCTTTAGCTATCTTGTCCGAGCCCCTCCCTTTACCCTCCCCCGCTCCCGGCGACAATAATAAGGATAACAGGGATATCTGTTTGACTGATTCTTGTGGTCGAATAGGTTGGAGTAAACAAAGTGAGAAAGATCTGTGTACTGTTGATGGGTTAAGTTCTTTGTTAGTGCTACTGACTGCCTTGTGTGATTTTTGTAAGATTTTTAGAGTAATTGTGTTAGTGGTGAAAGTTAATGTAGCAAATTTCAATACTTTATGATTAATATTATTTTGGATAAGAGGAGCGTTTATTTTATGTTCTGTGTTTGCAAAAGTCGAGTGAAATGTCGAGTGAATCAGTAAAAACGGTTAGTAACTTTGTGGAACGGGTGCTAATGACATTTTGTGATAGTACATTTTACAATCGACACTTGAATTTCGTCGTATTTAATGTTTTGATATTCAATTTGCAGTTTGCAAGTTTGGAAACTCCAGGATATGTTGGTTTTGCAAATTTACCAAATCAAGTGCATCGAAAATCTGTCAAAAAGGGTTTTGAATTTACATTAATGGTGGTCGGGGAGTCTGGTTTGGGGAAATCAACATTAGTAAACAGTTTGTTTTTGACTGATTTGTATCCAGAGAGGGTTGTTCCAGACGCAGTTGGTAAGAAAATTATTTTATTGGTAAATGAGCAAAATCAATATTTTGTTACTGAAACATGATAGAAAATGGTTTTAAATCTTCTTTATTTCAGAGAAGACTCACCAGACAGTGAAACTTGATGCTTCTACAGTTGAGATTGAGGAAAGAGGAGTAAAACTGCGTTTGACTGTTGTTGATACTCCAGGATACGGTGATGCTATTGATAACACAGACTGGTTAGTTTCATTTTATTTTAATGTAATAGAGTACATATGTATATACTTTTTAGCAGTGTATAATTTTTTGTTGTTTTTTATTTAAGTTTTAGAGCAATTATACAATACATAGATGATCAGTTTGAGAGATTTTTGAGGGATGAAAGTGGACTAAACAGAAGAAACATAGTGGATAATAGAATACATTGTTGTTTTTATTTTATCTCCCCATTTGGCCATGGGTAAGTAAGAAACAATAGTTGTAATTGACATTTATGCATTTATGAGGTGATGTTTGTTATTATAGAAGAGAAAGAGAAAATGATTGGGAAATGTAATAATTGTTCGAAAAATATTTCTCTCTACTTGACAGCTAGTGCCTGACTCGGTAGAGGGGGTTATGTTATCTATTCAGAGATTTCAAATTCTGCTAATGTCACTACAGAGTTGCCAATATTTGTTAAGAAAAAAATGAACTCCTCAGACAATTTCTTTCATGTTAAGTTTTTGTTGGTCTATTGTAGTATGTCATTGGCAGAGGTCTGAAGGCTAGTAGGAGAAATCTGTTTTCTGTCTTGATTATTTTTTAGTATTTATAGTTGGTTGTTGTAGCTCAGGTCTCATAATTAAGTCAGGATTGGTTTTATATGTGTGTTGTAGATGTACAGCTTTGTCTTTGTCTGCGTGAAGGGATGAGTCAGTATGGATGTTAGTGAATTAAGTGGTCTGTTCGCTTTTTGTGTAATGTCGTCCAGAGTAATTTGTTGTTAAGTGTCACATCAAGATATTTTGTCTTTAGTCCAGTTCATGGGTGTGTTGTCAATGAATAGTGGGTGTGAAGTCATGTGGGTCTTGTATGTTGTGCCTCTATGAAAGAAAATGGCTTGCCTTTTGGTGGGATTTAGTCAGAGGTTGTTGTCTTTTGCCCATTCGGTGATACGGACTAAGTCCTGTTGAAGTATGTTTATGGAGAGAGTTAGTTTGTTTTTTGTCACGGTCAATTCAATCGGCATAGATGTAGTCATTTGTCTTTTGGGATGTAGGCAAGTCATTGGTGTATAGTGGGAAGAGAACAGATGATAGAACTGCCCCTTGTGGTACGCCGGCGAGAATGGGTCTGGAAGTGGAAGAGGAATTTAGGTGGTTGACAAAGAAAGTTCGTTTGGTCAGGTAGTTTTTAAGAAGTGAAAGAAGGAAGTGGATGTGTGGGCTGATTTTGTAAATAAGAGAGTAATGAATTACGGTGTCGAAGGCAGTGGAAAAGTCATGGAAGATGGCTGGTAACGGGTGTTTTTTTCGCTCCTGGAGTCTTGTCGCAATGTCAGCAGTGATGCGTAATGTCTGTAGTCCAGTCCTGTCTGCTCGAAAGCTGAATTGTGTTGGTCTGAGTCGTTCGTCTAATATTGGGGATATTTTGCAGAGGATGGTGCGTTCCTAAAATGTGTTAGGAGGCTGATTGGTGTGTAGTTGTCAGTGTTATGGAAGGGGTTGTTGGGCTTGTGTATCATTTTAATCTTTGCTATTTTACAAGGAAGTATGAAGTATGATACAGGCATTGTAGACTTTTTTGAAGTTTGTCGTGTGTTTGGTCAGTCGTTTAAGAGCTACTGCTGTAACTCTGTCGGGGCCGGTCGCTTTGCTTTCGTTAAGGCAGGGCCGGCGAAGTAAAATTTTCTGGCATATGGAGTAAATTAAATTGCGGGGGGGGGGGGTTGAAGAGAGAGAATTAAAATTACTCATTTTCAACATCAATAACAATGTAATTTTTAACAACAATTTCATTTGGCAATTTTCCTTTTCTTATTAACTTAAAATAACATGTATGCCCTATATTTTTAAAGTTTACAATAACATTTACGCACCGTAAATTCGTACTTTGTTTTTGCACCATTGTTGTTCGAAGATAATGTTTTAATCGTCGCATTGCTGAAAACTACCTTTCGCAAGAACATGAATTCGGCACAAGTAAAAACTTTACCAACATCACTAGTTCATAGCACAAATGTAGGACTGAAGATTATTTTGAAAATTTTACAATATCGCGGAGTGAAGCAATTGAATAATTTTGTTTCAATGCTATATTAAAAAACCTGTCACGTTAAAGTATAAGCTTACTGCGATCCAAGGTAAATTCTTCGTCATCGTCATTTGGATTATAAAACTCTACAGTAGCATCTACCTCAGAAGTCTTTCCAATTACAAATTTTTCGCATGTATTTAAAAATGACATAGTATCAGAATCAAAGCGGGTTCCAAACGACATAAGAACTTGGTCTAATATTTCAAAAAAAATATTTTTGTATTATAATTGGACTCCTTACAAAAATTATGTTCATTTTCTGTAGACTAATATTTGTACCGTTTAGGAACTTCCTTTGCTCGTTTTATTTCCGGTTCATCAATGTCTAAATGTGCTGCTTCTTTGACAACATTATTCCATAGACTCAAATTGTGAATTTCGCATTTTGTTCATTTGATCTTCAACAATTTTAATCATTTTATAACCTTTATTAATGCACAACTCAAGTTCTTGAAGTTCGGTGTTTAACATTTCGATACGTTAAAAAATTGCAATCGAAATGTGCAGTAAAAAGAAGAAATCAAATGACATCAAATTTCTTAGATATCCAGCTGCTTTTGCTGAGACGCTAGAGTCTGCATGTCTGTCGTATTCCAATTGTTCGAAAAATATTAAAGCGGCTTTATAATTGTCTGCTGCTTGAAGAGAGAGTCTCGCATTCACCACCTAAATAAACAATGAAATTGGTTCCAATTTGTTATTCGATTTATTTTGAGAATGTCATTGGAAGAAGTTTCGGAAACTAACATCGCATCTAAAATTTTTGGGGAAACGTCTGATGCTGAATTTTGGAGCTGGAGACCCTTAGCGGGATCGACAGCAATTCTCGAAAAGTATTGGTGAAAGAAACTGGACACTGTTACTGGATCGTTTCTATTTGATTTGGTCGAATTTTTTCTATATTCCACATTGCTTTTGTTTTATTATATAAGTTCATAATACCCTTCTCATCATTTTCATTTTCTTATAATTTTATTTCATTTAATTTCAACAGTGTTTGAAGTTGTAGAAATTGAATTTCCCAATGGTTTGATCCTCGTCGCTTAATAACTCCACCACATTCGGCGCCATTTGTCTTTTAACAATGTACGGCCCTCTTCGTAACACGACTCTTGAGTGAATCGGAAAACGTAGGATTAGTTTTAACCTTCCTCTTCCTTTCGTCCGCTGCCTTGACCAATTTCTCCATGATTTTCTGTTTCGTAAAATGTCGTTCTTTGCTCGTGAGCTCCTCCCGGTCTAAATATTCCAGGACGTGCGGTGGCCTTCGTTCATATTGAGCCCCATGGGTGCTCATTCCTATGCTCTCGTGCTTAGTATAATTTAACTACCTGTGTCGCTCCAGTCGTCATACTTGCGGCTGCAATATGTGCAAAACAATCTGAATACCCTCTTTCATTACCCTCTCGCTGGGGTTTGATTGTGGGTGTCTAATCGACGAGTATATCGGGGATATGCCTTTCTCGGTTAATGATCGCCTCCACTCTTCACTCGTAAACTGGCGCCCGTGATTACTTAACACCCTGCGATAGGTTCCGGCTACTCGCGTATACTTATCTAATTCTCTCAAACACTGGTGTTTGATCTTGTTGATGGGGTAAACTTCGGAGAATTTAGTAAACAGATCGATAGCAACCATGGTATGTTTGTTCCCTCGCCCAGATTTCGGCAACGGGCCACACAGGCCCATGGCAATAATTTTCTCTTCGGGAATTATAGACACTAACGCCCACGCATATGTTCGATATGGAAACTTTGTTTTCATACACGTCTCGCACGATGTGACTATTCTTTTTTTATATTCCTATCTGGGTTGTTCCAATAATACGGTTCTTTAATAACGGATTTTATCTCGGAGGATCCGTAGTGCGCAGCTTGCGGTGGTTGTTGATTTGTAAACGCGCTCTCTCGGTATCCAAAATCGATGTTACGGGATCGGTATCCATCCGAACGAGCACTATTTCGTTACTTAACTTCCATTTTCCGGAATCTCTATGCTGTTCTGCGACCATCCTCGTATCCTCTGGTTGGGTTCTCTCTTACAGAACTCTCTTGGCTGAGTTCATCATCACGACTGTGGAGACCCGCCAAACTGGACAAGTCCCATAACAAACCTTAGGGAATCATTAAATCGATTACATTGACTCGTTCGACGTAGCTACGGAGAATGTCCGTCTCCCGCGGCTGAAACTTGCAACTTAGCAAGTCGGGTAAGACATTCTTCTTTTCCTCAACATATTCGATCTGGAAGTCGAACTGTTGTGACCATAGCGACCATCTCATTAGTCGGTCGTTCTGCCACTTGCATTGGTTCAAAAACTATTAAAGCTTTGTGATCTGTTTTGATGACAAAACTCCTCCCCATTCAGTAACTTAGTGAGTGGCCAAATAATGGCATGGGTTTCTTACTGATAGGTTCTGTTTCATATATTTTAACGCCGAATTTTTTTTATTATGTCTTCGAGTATTTCAGATACCTTCTGAAGAAATATGGGAGCATTCCTTACACTTTGCATTGTTTCCAAGTCTTCTTTATTTAATGAAAAGTCATCAAGTTCATCAGTCATAATACAACATAAACAAACATAAATTTGTAACATATGTTTATAATAAATATCTTTAAATAAAAAAAATTAATAATCTTGACATATTGTAGACAGTATGGAAAGTGCAATGAAGGGGAAATATATTTTTCTGACTCATGAGAAACTAGTGTTACGGAAAATTAAATGTATATAACACTTTTCTATTGTTATTGTTACAAAAATATTATTCATAGATAAAAGTATACTTTTTAACATATTATTTCCGTTTACTTTCTCTTTCCGTCCAAGATGTTTCTTTAACTTCCATTCTGCGGAATAGTGTTGGCAAGAATTTTTTAACATATATTTAAAATTTGGCATAATTCCATTACAGGCTAAAGAATAACCCTTAGTTTTGTTTTGGTATTGTAGATAAATATTTGTGCAATATTTCTTTTAAGAAGTATCATTTAAGGCTCGGAGTCAAAACAACTTCGGGGTTCTAGGGGATATTAGAAAGCCAGGCGTCTAGGGTTAATGCAAGGTTACATCAAGCAGTGCCTTCTATTTTTTGGTTTGTCAGGGGATGTTTGAATAAAAATGTTTTCAATTCTTAATTAAAATGGTTGTACCCTTGTGACACTCCTCACACTCTTAAATCTGTAATAGTTACTATCTAACATTTCATCCAATGTTATAATGTAGGCTAATAATGTAATACTAGTTGATAACCTGATATTTAATTTTGGTTTGAATTCTAATTGTTGGTTAGTGTATCTGCTCGTGGTAGGGTATCAAATTGTAGTATGCCAAATGTTTGTAATCTAATTGTGTTATTGTCACTTGTAAGTTAGTGTTGATTATTATAGTTATTTGCATTTTAATTCAAACTGTTATTATTCAAATCACTTGCATGTTTACTTTTATAGTAATGATCGAGCTGTTACACGTATCTTGAATTATACCCTTAATATCTCCATGGTCCATCTATATTGTGATTTGATTTTCATGTGTTATGTAGGCCTAAGTTCTATCACTTTTTTTTATCTGGCTTCATGTAATATTGCTACTCCTGAATTCATTGGGTTGTTTTACTCTCACCAACTTTTGCTCATGCAATTTGTTACCATGTGGCATTTCTAAATACTAAGTCAGATGACTGAGATGTAAAAGAAAGTTTGTAAATTTGTAATTATTATTATTATTATTATTATTATTATTATTATTATTATTATTATTATTTAAGGTTCAACCATTTGTTTTTAATAGTCTTAAAATTGCAATAGTTATATCTGTGGGAAACCTGATGTCTTTTGGTTTCGAATGTTTTAGACTCAAATGTGGATATCTTGTTGCATACTAATGTTTTATTATTATTGTAAAATTAGTAGATATGGTCTTCCTTTTTCCAAACTCATTGCATGGGTTTTTGCGAATTTGTTGGCAATGCTCTCAGTCATAATTATACACCACTTGAATGATGAATCATATATATTTACTTATTCACGCCAATCGTTTTGTACATATAGGTAACAATTTATATACCACACTGCACAATCACATCCAATACACTATAACAATTTTAAATACAACCAATCGATGCATATAATTAAATTAATTAAATTAAATTGAGATATATAAACCGTAAGATCACATTCATATCATTGTTTACAATCTTTGTAATAAATATTTTAAACATAACACATTATCTGTTGTGTATAATTTTCTTTATCTGTATCGAGAATGATGATGTGGATCCCCCAAGAAGTTTATGCTGGAATAATATCATTTACTAGGTTCGCTATTCTATTTTCGGACCCATAATATACATAATTTTTTAGTAGTCTTAATTGAATTCCAGTAATCTATACGATCTCAAGCCAGTTTTGAATAGACAAATTCAAATTGTTCTAATATTTCTTGGCATTCAATTTCGCAATTAATGATCTTAAAAAAATATATAAGATCTGCAATTTGTCTCCGCTTGGAAAGTGAGTGTATTTTAAATTGATCCATAGACTTCATCAGTGCCTCCTGTCATGACCTCTGATGCCCATATAGTACTTGACGAGTTACAGAATTTCTTTGAATATTTTTCGATTCGATCTACAAGAATGTCGGTGTTATGGTGACCAGATTCTGATCTTGAATATATATATATATATTATATATATATATATATAATATATATATATATATATATATATATATATATATATATATTGTGACCACGCTCTCTGATTACCTGATTTTCTTCTCGGATTCAGCGTTGTCCCGGCTGCTTCGTCGGTAGACTCCCTAGAGGGAGGCATGCATATTTGGGACTAACTACCACTACGACATTCAAAACGAGATTTCACTTGTTTTGAAATGAATTTAATGCGTCAAATTTGCGATTTAGGTGAAGCCTCATACTAAAGTTAATCGTACTACCTTAAAACCAATCTTAGCTTATACCGCCGTCATGGCCAGAGTTCATCTATGCCCCCTGGTCATTGTCCTTTCGGACGGTCATGACTCGGCTTGCGGGAGCGGTAGCCCCTTGACCCAGCGTCTGGAAGTGGCGTAGTCGCTGGGGCGCCTTCACCCCGGTCCTTTGTCCGTCAGCGCGGCAGCTACCGGCTGGCTCCGCGGTCAGAAATGGAATGAACTGGCTGCTGACTCCGACGCCAGAATGTAGAGAGCTTGCACTCCCGAAATCGGAATATAATGCAGCCAAGCTGGCTCTGCGGATCCGAATAGAATGACCGAGCGTGCGTCCAGAGCTTGCCATGAAGACTGCGGTTCACGTGATCCTCCCCTGCGTCGTTTCTCGCGATTGGCGCGTCACTCGATTTCTCCGCCCTATCGCGGCGTCGATGACGATCGCCCGCGCCTTGCCAAATCCCGGGAAACTCCCATCATCACTCGGGTTCCGAGAGATAGGCGCGGCAGCGGCACGTCGCTCGGTTGGGGGCGGTAAGAGTTCTTTCTAATGAGTCGAGGGTGCGGCCTGGCGTGGGTTGCGCTGGACACAAAGACTGGATTCCACAGCTCCCCGGGCGCGCCCGAAAACGCCTCGGGTAGCAAGAAACAGTGCGTTTCCTGGCGTCCTCAGCGGCGCTACGCGCAATGAAATTTTTAATACACTCGTCGCCACCTGACACGTGCGACCGTCCCATAAAAATTGGACCGGAAGTATGCAGTAGTATATTATTTTAATTTTTCTCTTAACTTCGATAAATAATAATAAATTTGGTCAATATATCTAATTTTGATGGACTTGATTTGCCACAGGTTTCCTCAGAATGTTGTCTGGTTATATTTTAATTTAACCTGACCGGAAACACGGTGGAGTGGCATGGAGTGTTTGTATCGCGTGGTTCATTCAATTCAACCAATTCTCATTTATTTTCATTTCGGGCTGTGGCCCGATCCAGACTTGTCGGGCAATGGACCCACATGCTTTAGTAACTCCATGTGGAGTTGGGAGTGGTGGCTGGAAATTAGGCTGGACTTTAATGTGTAGTCGTAAGGTGTGTACTTTCTTTATTTTGGTGTTTTGTTTTTTGCTTGTTTTTGTCTTGGTTTATAAACGTTTATTTGTAGAGTGTTAATTAATTAATGAATTAATTTTTTACTTTTTAGTTTGTTGTTCTCATGCATTGTTGATTTGTCTATGTATTCTTGCCCTGATGAAGAAATTAATTATTTCAAAGCATTGGCATAACTAATTGGTTCTTTATCCATGTTGACCAGTCCTGTAAACTAATTTTGTATTTCAAGGTCGTGATTTCTATAGTGAACTATTATTTATTTCTTTGCCAGTGGAATCATTATCTCATAAATATACCCATGCTGAAAATATTTGTTAACAAAAAAATGGATGTAGATCATCAATTCATTTCATAAGATACCAGTACTTTTACCACTGCTTCAGATAAGTTCTCATCAATACAGAAGCCATTTGTGTGATCCGAGTTCCTACTTTCACCTCCCAACACTGCCACAAATTTGTAATAATAATGATGATGATGATGATGATGATGTCTGTATTAATGGCGAGGCTCAGGCCATAGGGCCTGCTCTTCCGCCTAACCACATTTGTATGGGTTTTTATAATATTATGTAGCACAAATAATGCAAGAAAGTAAGTGCTGTAAGCACTACTGGTTGCATAGTATTTTAGTATGTACAGCAAAACAGCCATAGTCGATGTGGGGAAACATTGACTTGTTTAAAGAAAGGGTAAGATAATACCAAAATTTTCTGTAATCATTTGAAAAAATTAAGACTTTCAAAGTGTATTAGTAATGTGAAATCAAAAGTTACCATGAATAATGTAAAAGAAATATCAAAGGAATGAATATTTTAATTTTTAATATAATTTGATGCCATAATGAGTCATGTAGTGTGGATAGTTGTTTGAAGACCCAAAGCAGATGTTGTAAAGTGCAAATAAACAAAACATCTGATTGAGTGTGGAGGACATTTGTGAACGTGAACAATTGTGAACTTTGCTTTCTACTACTGATGCCAGATATCAGGCAAATTTGGGAATAATTATATTAAAATACTTAAAAGTTTTCTTGTGTTTGAACCAATGATTTTTTTTATTCTTTGGGTAATATTCATTTTTATTCATTCATGTTGTATTTTTTTCTTCTTCATTCATTTATTTGTTTGTAGGTTGAAGCCTCTGGATATCGAGTTCATGAAGCAATTGCACAATAAAGTCAACATAGTTCCAGTTATTGCTAAGGCGGATGTTTTAACAAAGAAAGAAGTTTTGAGACTTAAAAAGAGGGTAGGTCTTTATATAGATATACTTTATTGATTGAACAGTTTCTAGAGAAAGAGAATGGTGACTTATCGCTTTTCTGATGACGTTGTTGCGTATTAGTAGGTGCGTAGTAGTAGTAGTAGTAGTATAGTAGGGGTATTATTATTATTATTATTACTATTATTATTATGTTTTTATTTTCGTGGAATTGACTGTCTTAGCCAGGAATCAAACGTGGATCTCCCATTGTTCTGTGAATTTCCTAGGAGGTCCCGGTTTGGTTTCTTGCTGAGGCAGTCAATTTCACACTAAGCTATTCGGTCGCAATGGCAATTGGTGAAATGGTAAACATATTCCCATGTACAGAGTTGGGCAGTATCTGAAGAGAGAAGGGGGAAGAATACCTAGAACGGGGAAGCGGTTGTTTGAGAGGACTGAAAGGTAGAACTCTGCGTTCAGGCGAAAACAACCGCTCGAGACTAGCGAGGCTCCGCGCCGACGCTCGGCGGAAGGGGGGACATTACGAGCGGCCGCCTTCTGGCTGCCAAAGTCTGCAGAACAGTCGACCACCGTTCAACGCATGTACGGGATGTAATGTCGCCGCGTATAGTGATCGCAAAACTCTTCCAATTAATTTAATTCATTAATTATAATCGAAAGAAAATAAAATTTCAATTGGTTGAAAAGTAACAATTTATCGATTAATTGAAAATAATTTTAGAGAGACAAAACAATACAATATTTGAAAGAATTAAAGGTAAACAAAGAGTCTGAAAATAAATATAAATTAACTTTTAAGCTGTATCAATTCAGTGGAATATTTTTTTAACTAATAAATTTTTAAATAATATTTAATATATTTAAATAATTTGTATCCTTTATTTTTACATTAAGTTAAACAATATTGAAAAACAAGGTTTATTAATTGGAATCTCTAATAATGTAAATAGTGTGACCTTCACGGCCGTCTCAACTTACCTGCTGGCTAGCTCAGAAGGCAATGGGTCACCTGCAATTGAGTGAGATTGATGGACGTCGTTTATGAATAAAAGAAGTTATTGAATAAGGTAAAATTTAAAGATGAATGACTCAAAATAAAACAAGCACGGCAAGAACTGAGTTTCTGCCCGAGTTCAGTTTCTCCCAAAACAAAACTTATTCTAATTAAAATCTAACCCTGAAAAATCTTAAGACTACGCTTACAGAAACTTGGTTTGCCATTAGAATTTTATTCTAGCCAAGAACCTAAGAATCGTTGCCTGAATTACACAAAAAAATTGTTTGAGCCAGAATCCATTTTTAAAAAAAATCATTGCTTGAAGGGCCTAACGGGAGCCATTGCCAGGTTTTGCGATGATATCGCCCATGTTTGTTGTGGAGGTCAGTCACCCTCGTCCAGCTGTTGCGTCCTTTCACTGTGTGACCCCATCGTCTGAAAAAAGGGGCTGAGACGGCGGGCGGGCGAAAGCTGCAACAGGTAGCGGGAACTGTCGGGCTGGCTCGCGGCCCACGCCGCAGTTTATCGTAGTCGCGTCCACAAGTATCTTCCTCAGCTCTCACTTTCAGATGCGATGCAACTGGCGCTCATAATTTTGTCCATTTTGGTAACGGTAACAAATTTTTTGTAATACTCGCCGAAACTTTACGGAATGGTGAAGTTCCGGAAGCCGCGTAGCGTAATTTCGAAAATGTAGTAAGTGTCCTTCAAATTTTCAAATTACGCAAGCAAATGTGGGTGACTTTCCCATACATCGCTTCTGAAGGGTAGTTTGACAAACTGAAAAATTCAAAACGCGTATCACGGCGTTCCAAAAAAAAATCAAGTGCCCGGCGGCTTAACAAGAAATCAAGCATTGGAGCGGGCGGTGGTCTGACAAGAAGTGCCTAGCGGTTGTCTGAAGACGGCTCTACAAATGTGGCATTCGGTGAATCCCGAGTAGTGTGGATGGGTTGCTTGCGATTCGTCGAGTGACGAAGATTCGGTATTCGTCCTACCCACCGCGAGTCGCTCTTCAGGGACACATCAAAGGGGTGAATATTAGCTGAACACATCAGCTGTTCGTTATTGGACGAGCTGCTCGGCGAATGCCGAATGTGTGGAGCAAGAAGTACTCGCCGTTTTGGTTATGGCCTCCTTTCACTCCAGAACGTTCTAGAAGATTTCAAGATTTTGATAAAACGACTGCCCATTGGCGTTAGGTTATTGCATTGCAGAAGCATTTCGGCCAATCATAGGACGTGTGTTAAGCTACCCGAATAGAAAATGGCAGTATCTCATTTGTCACTCTTTTTGTTTATAAAATGCACGTGCATGGTCGTACTAGTACTACTACTACTACTACTACTACTACTACTACTACTACTACTACTACTTCTATCGCACTATGGCCCTTCAAGTTTAGCCTTTCGTCTCAAACGATCAATATCTATTCACTTCTCTCTTTTGCCTTTTTTCTCCACCCCATCACTCCCATTGATCTCAAATCCATTTCAACAACTAGCCATTTTAAGCGGGGTCTTTCGTCTTCCTTCGGGTTCTTTACAGAAGATATTTTCGGTGATTCTTTCTTCCTCCAGTAGAGCATAATTTTTCGTTTACTGGATTGAATTGTGTGACAAAATGTATTACACTTTTGTGTATTAAAAATCCTGTAACAAGTTCTGTCATTCTTTTGTGACCACTGTAACATACTGTGTAATCGCCCGAGTCCGTCATTCCTTTTCCTGTCTATATCATTTCCTGTAAAATAACTATAGATATTTTATATGTAGCTAGTTCTTGTTTTAAGTTTGCACCCGGTTTAAACATGCTCCTCACATTCTAAGTTCCCCGAATCATGTGCTTTTTCCGTTTAGTACGCCATCATCCAAAAACAGTGCGGCATTTTTCTTAGAGTTTCTGAACCATTTTTTTTTCTGGTGAAGGGTTGTTAGCGTATCTCCGAACCCCCAACCTGAAGGTCCTGGATTTGTATGGGGTTTACTTTCCCTTTAGGAGAAATGATGTAGAATATTGGTGAGTAGACTATTAAGAAAAGAAGAAACGTACTAGAAGGAGAAAAAGAAGATGAATGACGCCCACGCCCTCGAGACCTAGTAGCTTCGGGGTCGAAAATGCAAGGGACCAAGAGAGGTAAAGTAGAATAGATAAAAGTAGTATGACATAAAGTAGTGCAAAGCAGTGCAACACTAGAAACGTATACCACCTGGCAACAAGAGTCGCTGGTAAGGGGCGGGAGCAGTATTAGATAAAGGTATAGAGCGAAATTTGGGAGTGTCAAGACTTGGAAGGGAACCGAAAGGTGGTCGTTGTGAGACATCCCTTCGTCTGACTCCTCCGCTGAGGTCTACCGTTTGGGTGACCCTACCAGTAATAATGTTCTTTAACTCTACCAGTAGTAAGATTCTTTAACCAATCTACACTTCTACCGGACATAGATCTCAGCTTCATGAGAGCACGCAAACCACCTCGCCCGCAAGCTCAGTGTTACTTTAAGACTAAATGCACCGAAAAATACGTGTAGGAAAATTCAATAGATCGCAGCACTGTAATAGGGGAATTTACCGATAAAGTCTGAACCAATGGTCCGATTTTCGAACTGTAAACAGCATTTGACGCCTTTTTAAAATAGAATTTACGCTACGAAGCCTTTTTTCCAAAAATCTGGCAAATCCTTGAATTTGAAATTGGTGCTCGAACTTCCGAGAAAAAATTTAAAAAATGTGGACTTATAGCGCGATGGCTACATGTTTCCTGAATACAACGCCGTGTCAATCATGCAAATCGGATGAATAGGAGCGTCGTAAAGTGAAATTTGGGAAAACACCATAAATCCTTATCCTACCGCCCCTGGAGGACAATAAATTAAATTATAGAAGCCGATGTTTGTACACCAGATGCGTTTGCGAAATCGCATCAGACACGTCGTTTGTGTCCATATCCCCAGAAGGCAACCTTCTCGAATCTCACTGGCCTTGCAGTAGAATAGAACCCAGGGAACGAATGTGACTTATGGGAAAACCACAGTGTTACAAAACCAGGTACTGTAAACCGATACTGTGGTCTGATGCGCCCAAAGAACGGACAATATATTTTTACATAGAGCAAATAAGAACCATATACAGTAAAGATTAAAAATCATAAAATCAACCAAATAATGTAGGGATGTGACGCATCACTCGCATCCATTGACACTACGCCATTGCAGAATGCATTAGTTATAGAATTAAAGCTTAAATTTTTACTTCTCTTATTCATTTGTTATTGTATACTTGTTACTTTCAGCATTGTTTATTATCACTTACACTCTTAAAGTAGATGCTTGTAATGGGGAAAAGTTAACTGGTTTTGTTAACCTATGTGAAATTTGAATTTCGTGCTCTTCGTTTGTACTCGCAAATATGTTTACTTTTGTATAATTCAATGGAAATCTTTCTATTTCAGGTGATGGAGGAAATTGAAGCACATGGGATTAAAATCTACCCTCTGCCTGACTGTGATAGTGATGAAGATGAAGATTACAAGGAGCAGGTAAAATTTCACATCAAACATTTTTACTTTGCAGAAAAGAAAATCAAAATATGGACTTTATTTTAATTATATGCCAATAATTTGTGCTTAAAAAGATAATGTTTGTTTCTTTTTCTATGACTTAGTGGTCCTTAGTCTAGGTTTGGTCTCTTCTAATATTTTCTTCCCACAATTGTCTACTTCTGTTTATCACCTTGTATATATTCTTAAGACTTTAACATTCTACTTCACAGTATCTATTATGGGTAATTCCAGCCATCCTTTTCATACATTGCCTTTATATTGTTAAAACCTCCAAATGCAGAATATTTATTTATTTTTTAATAAAAAATTCAATGGTGTACACCAATTACAGAAGAATATGGTATATGAATAATATAAAACCATCGAAACAAAGTGGAAAAAGTATTTATATACAGTGGAAAATGTTTTTGAAAAAAGTTGTACATCTTACTACAATTACTCTACTTATCTCAATACTATCTTACTTTGCATCTACAGACATCCAACAAAGTAAGCTTTAGATAATTTCATTTTGTTAGAGAATCTAGAGATAACTCTGAAGAAAATTAGAATCTTTTAAATCCATTGTTATATGTGGAGCTTTCAATATTGATTTTGTGAGTGAATCCCATGAAAAAGAAAAGTTTCTCAATTTACTGCATTCTTTTAATTTAGATACTACAGTGAATGAGCCTACATGGAATACATTTACGTCACAAGAAGCAGTATATCAAATTATAATTAACAAAACCACAACTAGATATGAAGTAAAAACTAGGTACTAATCTTAGTGACAGTGTCCAAGATGCCCAAATTCTTACAATTTATAATAATATGAACACTGACACAAATTATACATGCATGTGCAGAACATTCACTAAAGTTAATATAAAATTATTTACGAACTACTGATAAAGGACTTGTGGGACACAGTTTATAACGCTATTGACATAAATGAAAAATTATATATATTTTTCTCAAAACTTTCATTTCACTTTAACACATGCTTTCCTCAAAAAGAGAAAATTAAACATTTCCTGGAAAAATAATGCTTAGATCACATAAGGAATTAGAACATTGTGTAAAAACAAACTTACACATTACTTTATTTCTAAGCATCACCTGGCTTCTATGTCTACTTCCGAGAATACAAAAGAATTTTAAGGAAAGTAATAGTTCAGGCAAAAATAATGAAAAATAATGAGGTTATTTTGAATGCTAATAATAAAACTAAAACAATTTGGAATATCATAAAAAACACCACATCATCTCGTTACTTAGTAGAGAATGTTGTTTCAAAGAATAATGTAAGACAAACAAGTAATTTGGAAATAGTGGCTAATCTCTTCAATCAACACTTTTCTAGAGTTGCGGCTGTGCTCAAGAAGAGACTAAAACCGGAAAATTCAACATTAAAACCTTCCCAAAAAAATTTCTACGCAATATTTATTTCCGAAACTTCTTTTAACAAAATCCTGAGAATAGTCAGTAAACTAAATATAAATATTCGTCTGGTTTAGATAATTTTCCGGATTGTTTTTTGAAAACCTGTGTACTTACCTTTATTCACCCATTAACTCATGTTTTCAATGCTTTTTTTTACCCCAAGAATGTTTTCAAAGCAACAAAAATTAAACCAGTTTTTAAAAAAGGAAACAAAAATTAAATTCAAAATTACCGGCCAATTTCTCTTTTGTGAAGTTTCTCAAAAATATTAGAAAGGCTTTTCTATACGAGAATGGATACTTTTCTCAGGAAATACAAGAAGTTTTCAAGACTCACAACTTAAGAAATTCAAAATCTACGGAAACTGCCATTTTTTTTCTTTTTTCTTTTCTTAAAAGTGTTGCTTCATTAATGAACCAAAATGAAGCTCCCATTGGAATATTTTTAGAGCTTTCAAAAGCTTTCGACGTTATTGACCATAACATCTTGCTATCAAAATTATCTTCTTATGGAATTTGTGGTATCGCCCTAGATAACCTCTTCATGGCAAAAAAGAAACAATAAATAGTATGGTTTCAGCAGTTTCAAATTGTTTTTGTAATAACAAATTAATAGTTAATGAAGGAAAAGCAGTTTCAATGCATTTTTCCATTTCAAATCAGCAATCGCATGGTCCATTGAAAATGAACAATATGCAGTTACCTGATGTTCAGGTAACAAAATTTCTTGGTCTGTCGATTCAATCAAACCTCAAATGGAATGTACTGATAACAGAATTCAACACTAAATTATGTTCATTGTTTCGCATTCAGAATTCTTTTAAATTCTGTCAGCCTTCATGCGGCTTCTTGCATGTTTTTTGCAAATGTGCATTCTCACCTGACATATGGCATAATATTCTTGGGAAACTCATCATATAGTACCCAGACTTTTAGATTGCAAAAGAAAATTATTCGAATAATGGAAAATGCTACCTGCGTGATTCCTGCAAACCTCTCTTCTTTGAGCTTGGAATCTTACCACTGTCTTGCCTATTTAATGTCAGTATTTGTCAGATGACATTAAATGATTCGTATAGGTTCACAAATATATGTTGAAAGTAAAATATTTTCTGCTTCATTAGTTTTTATACAATTAGATACTAAACTGATTATAAGAAAGAAAAATAATGTTTCTTTTAACAAAACAGTGATATGTATTGAATTAGTTTATATTTGTATTGTATATTTAAAAAAAAAAAAAAAAGACTTAATATGCTTTTAAGAAATAATGTACTTCAGCTTCTGGGTCAATGACTCCCATCTCTATCAGGTTTTGGTTCATGGTTTTCCCTCATGCATTGAGCAAATACTAAGATGATCTCTTGTTTTTGCTTCTGGGCGTAAATGTAGCTTCACTATGTTCACATTTTGTTGAACTCTCCTTTTGCTTATAATGGTGGAAGTAGAGGTACAGAGCGTTCAGGGCAGTAAACGATTATAATGACAGCTTCAATAACAGATGAGCGTCGCCTAAGACCGCATCGCTCTCCGCTAAATATTCTTCTGCCAGTCACCTGAGTAGCATAAACAGCTGGCCAGGGGTGACTGAATTTTGTTTTTAAATGAAATTATGATTGCGTGGAGGTTAGAAACAGTTTTCACGTGAGATTGATTTAATTTCGTATCATTAATGATGAAAAATGATACTAAGTGATTGAAAACATTTCTAAATACTGTTGTGAACATGTATGATTGATTTAATTAAGCCATCAGATATGAGAATGATATGAAATATTCTGCTAAGCTCCCACGTCGGCCTTGTGAAAACTATCGGAATTCTGTCGGTACTTTTCGGTCTTGTGTGTTCAGAAGATTCAAATTAATGTGTGCTGTATAATGTTTTGCAGTTATGATATCTGGTGGTGGATTTATAATTGTGATTTCATTTTCACATTGTTGATCTTGTGACTCTGACAGCCAGTGTATCAATTATTGATTAGAGACTTGCAGATATTGTTAGTTAATTGTGAATTCTTTGTAATAATACTTAAATGCTATAATTTGTTCAGTGATTGACTGGTAAAACAAGGCTTAATTGACATGTTAGACATGTATAATTAACATAAAACTACCATTAATTTGCTATTTTCCTTTCATAATTCTGGGTTCTTCTGATTGTACGATTTTGGAAAATTTTCACACTACATTCAAAGATTTCTGTGGGAAAAAGGATACAAGTTAGTAGATACTCTGGAGTACTGTTTGGCAGAATTCTCAGTTAATTCAATTGATCAGTAACTTCAAGTAAATTTCTTAAATATGGAAATCAAGTCGGTTCTCAAAAGTAAGATAAAAATGGGTTAAAAAGTGCTAAGAATTTTTGTACTCACCTGTTATTAAAAGGATATTAAATAATATATTCAAATTAATGTAAGATGAATGGTTTTAGCGTTAGAAATGAAAATTGAAATGTTTTAATACCTTCAATAACTTTATTATCTAAATATAAAAGTCAATTAGAAATTAGGTGAAAGGTAACATAAAAAAGCAAACGTATAAGTGAAAAAATAATTCCCTTTATTTGAAGGATACAACATTTCCACCGAAATTTCTACAAAATCAAAATGAGTTTCCTACATCCTTTTAGAAAAAATTCACAACCTACTATTAATATCTCCAGACTCAGCCTACCTCATTTGCCAGGGTGAGGTGTAAAATTTCTGGGAAAAAAATTATACATTTTAATTTTTACATAGAGGATAAAACAATGAATGATGTATGTATTGTATCTTCTTATATGACAATGCTTTATTGGTTATCAAAGCAGACCTAACAGCCGATTTTGATAATTTTAATAATGTTTTTTTCATTCAAATTCATAAAAATTCAATTTCATAAAAATTTTCTTTTCATTCAATATGCATTTCTAATTCATTTTCATTAAAGGGACTATTTTTTCTGTTACTTGAAGTTCATTTTTGATGAGTATGAATGAATGTTATTAAAATATATTTTCAACCCATTCATTCACAATCAAACCTTTACTTCACATACTTTCATTCACACATCATTTTACATACCTGATTCATATACATAAAAAATTAACTTCATATAACTGAAAAACTTCTTCCTTTTAATAAAAAAATTAAAATTGTACAATAATTACTAAAAAGAATTTACAAAGGAAGTTAACAGGTGCAGACATAATGAAGTGTCTAGTTATATCTTCTGAGAAGTACACCTTTAAAAAAAACACATACCCATACGGAGGGCAAATGCTCTATTTCACCTGGAATGTAACCATTTACTTGTCCTTGATGGAATAATACACAGTTCCAATTCTGCACCTGAGAAGAACAAGTTATGTCAAATCTTTTTTCAAACTGATGAAATATAGTGCATTAAACATATAAAGATACTGACCATATCTCTATTAAGTAGAGACACCGGAGGGCCCAGGCATGGGGACAGCACGAGGAACGTGATTATCATCAGAGTCATCCTGAATATTTACTAGTACAGAAATCCCTGAAGCATTTTGCCTAACTTCTACTTTCCAATCTTCTTGTA